GCTTCTTTGAGAGTATTGACTACTTCAGGGTCAGTTAGTAATACATCTTTTAACTTCCACTGGAAAGTCTTTTGTGGCAAGTGAGAGATACTAACAGCAAGAGACAGGCGTGGTCCAACAAGGTGATCGGACCATAGAAGCATGTTTGAACAAGGTGGAGGTGTCTGTGTTGCATAAATAGCACGTCTATGAGCATGTAGGAATTTGTTGCAGGGGAATAAAAAGAGTAATCTCTTGTTTGGGGGGGTGTTATACACCAGCAGTCGTACATTTGGGTTTAGTCTAATAGTTAATTTACTAATTTTCTAGTGGGCACTTGGTAAGTTATTGTAGTGGAAGAGGTGTCAATGGCTGTATCTAGGGACACATTGAGGTGTCTCCCTCCAAGATCAGTATCCGGTCTGTAAAGTCATCGACCAATTTCATGCGTTTGTGTAAGCTTTTACATTGATTCCTAATGTCGGCAAATAGAGATTAGAGAAGGTTACCATTGTTTGCCCCATGAGACCTTTCACCATTACCAGCATACCTCAGCATGTTATTGAAATGGCAAGTGTGCCACTAGGAAAATTTTTGGTTGGCTAGGCATGGTGCCACCCCTTGTTTAAAGTGGGTCTCCTGAATAAACGCCACATCTACTTTCAAATTGTGTAGCTCTGATGGTGTCAAGGTCCACTTTTCTAATGTGTTTAGGCCCCTAACGTTTAGTGTGAACAACAGGGATGGTAGCCATAAGTTAAAAAGAATGAATGATCGACTTGTGTACCCCCCTTTCCCGGCTCCGAGCAACAAATGAAAACAATAGGAAAGACATATAAACAAAAACTAAAGTATGTACATAAGGAACAAATAAACATATTGAGCACATTGCATAGGTGTTAAATAGTTTGTTGTAAAAAATAAGTGGTCACCAGTGTCTATCCCTAGATGGGAGAGATGCCATGCAGAATCTCGTGGTGACACCGCCTATACAGTTTGGTAAAGGGTGGAAAGGCACGGCGAGAATCAAACCAAGCTGCAGAGGTACGTGGGGTCTATGGTGCTTATGGTGTCCGGTGCGTTGCTTATGGTCCTCAGCGTCAGCTAGGAAGCATCAATTGGCGGAGGTACCCAGTTGGGGTGCCAGGTGGTCCGTCACAGGGTCGATGAGATGAATTATGTATATGATCACTTAGAAGTGCTTGCCTTCAATGGGCGAAATGACCAGTGTCAATGTTTGCTGGGTGAGTCTCGGATATCCGGGCTGCTACTGGCCCGAGGAGACCGTTTGTGTGTTACTTCATTAAAAGATAGGTTTAGATGGCCTCACATTTGACTCTAGAATACTTTGGTATACGAAGGAGTTCATGGTTGACTCAATGACTGTAAGGTTCCCAGGTGCTGTGGCTATAAACAAAGCCCAAATCATCCCTCCCCCACTGTGCATGACAGTTGGTATGAGCTGTTTGTGCTGATATGCTGTGTTTGTTATTCACTAAATGTTGGGCTGTGCATTATGTCCAAACATCTTCACTTTAGTCTTGTCGGTCCAAAGCACATTGTTCCAGAAGTCTTGTGGTTTGTTCAGATGTAACTTTGCAAACCTAAGCTGTGCTGCCATGGTCTTTTTAGAGAGAAGAGGCTTTTTCCTGGCAACCCTTCCAAACAAACCATACTTGTTCAGTCTTTTTCTAATAGTACTGTCATGAAATTTAACATTTAACATGCTAGCTGAGGCATTTAGAGACTAAGATGTAATTCATGTTTTTCTTTTGCAATTTCTCTGAACATATATATATCACAAGAGGAAATCCCCTACAGTATGGATCATCTCTGGCTTTATATAGTCTGGCTAATATAATATTCTCATTCTTTTTACTATTCTATTGTCTATCATCTCATTTTGCTCCATACTATGATACTTACTATGTATCCAACTTGAGATGATACAATTGAAGTGAAGTAATTTTTATTTTAGGGTCAATGGACTTTTGTTGCTGCATCTTGATATTTTATGTGTATATAAGAGTGACCTGGGAACATAGCAGCAGATATTTACATTTGTATTATTACTTTTCCTCCCCTATATCACAATATTTGACAATCACCAGTGTCGAGTACTGTACAGTTATATTGCCCCCTTCTGGTTGTATGTAGGTGTAACATTGAATTCAGAAGGATATTAATATTGCACAGACACACTAGACTAGGTGTATGGTTGTTGTTAATTTATTTTATATCCTGACTAATTTCAGAAGATGCACCACCGTGGAACTTGATCTGAGAATTGGTGTGCCCCAAGGTGGGAAGAAGAGGCAGATCTCCTTTCTCATGAATACAGCCAGTAGCTGCCCCCTACCCCTCCCTTTGGACCGGTGGGGGTGAATTGTACATGTGTCTAATGCTATAGTGATATAGCCTGGACATTTTAGCAGTTGTAGAGTGGGAATAATCAAGAGAGAGACTGAGGAAAGAGGATCTCATGTTTGCATATTTCTTCTTAATTTTTTGTTTGTTTGTATAATATTAGGAAGGTATATGTCCAGTATAATTAGAAGGTATATGCCCAGTATATTGACACTATCCTTACTGACTAGACATTACAGTCTTTGTCTAGAGTCTGACAGGTGAGACAGTTGACATCTTGGGGCCTAACTCACTGCACCAATGGGGAACCACATCTAATTTTAATTGGGCTATCATGCTTAAAGCATCTCTCTCTTTTGCGGGACTTAGCCCTGCCCTAAGCGGGTATAAGTTGACCTGGGTTTGTAGGATGTTTTATGGCATCACGCCACTTCCCTCAACTCTTTAGAAAGAATTTTAGAGGGCTAATGTTTTGCTTTCATTATTTGCGCTTTTCAGGTATCTTTTGCCCTTTATGTTGTTATTCACTAGTTATCTTTTTTTTTACTACACCATTTTGTTGTGCAAACTCTATGTGACCATGTCAGGGTAACTCAGCTGGGCACATGATCATATTGCATTTATTTAACAAATATGCACATATCTCGCTTTTTGTATGACATTCGTCTGATACCTGCTGTACAATTTATGAGTATGTACTACAGCACAAAAAAAAAAAGTCCAATTACTGCAATTTCTTACGAAAAACTGAATTTGCAGAATATTGTGTACCAGACATATCTAGCATTTCCCCACACTGTAACAAGCGTCCAGTGCAGGCGCTAAACACGTCTTTCTCCTTCCACCTCTTCCAATTGCATAGTTTGATTATTTTTACTGTTCATTTGACAATTTTGCTTCATGTTTCCCCCCCCCCATACATGACATGGAATGTTTGGAATGTTTTAGGGTTATTCCCATTTCCCCACATTTAAAGGAACACTATAGTCACCTAAATTACTTTAGCTAAATAAAGCAGTTTTAGTGTATAGATCAGGGGTAGGCAACCTTTTAGCAGCACTGTGCCGATATAAGATTGTGATGTCCCTTAGCGTGCCGGTCCTATTTTTTTTAAGTTGAAGTGTGTTTGCTGCCGTATTCTGCTTGTGTTATTTTTACTGTAATTGGTTTGTATTGTTGTATTTGTGCATATTTGAGCTATTATATTGTATATGTTCAGGAGTAGTTTATGGTATTGTGTATGATATATATGAATGTGGGCTGTGTATGGGGGCTGCTTGTGAAATTGAGTGTGTGGATGGATGTGTCACATTGTGTGTTTGGTAGTGTGTGGGGGCTGTTTGGGGTATTGCATGTGAGAGGCTGCATGTGGGGTTGTGTGCATGTATGTGGATTGTTAGTGGTGTTGCATTAAAGCGGATTGTGTCTATGTTTGTGTGTGGGCTGTCCGTATTATTTGTATGAGGGGAGGGTTATTCTGCATTTCTGTGTATATCTAGCAGTGTGGGTGGCTTCCCTGGGTTCCAATGGGGACCAGGCCGGCCAGATACAGGTCAAGGACTGGAGCTGCAACAGCAACTGCGAGCTGCTCTACTACTGTGTGGATTCCCATTCACAAGTGCTGGAATTAAGTGCTCTGAGATCACTTCCTCTACGTACTGCAACGCATAAATTGAGGATTGTCCTTTACCACCTCTTCGTATTAGCAGATATCTGAAGTTACTGGGACTCCTGATAGGCCAGAGCCTGTTTGGCTCTAGCAGCCTTGAGTGCTGTGCAAAGGCACCTCGAGTGCCGTGCATGGCACTAGTGCCGTAGGTTGCCTACCCCTGGTATAGATCATTCCCCTGCAATTTCACTGCTGAATTCACTGTCATTTAGGAGTTAAATCACTTTGTTTCTGTTTATGTAGCCCTAGCCACACCTCCCCTGGCTATGATTGACAGAGACTGCATGAAAAAAAAAAAAGCTGGTTTCACTTTCAAACAGATGTAATTTACCTTAAATAATTGTTTCTCAATCTCTAAATTGAACTTTAATCACATACAGGAGGCTCGTGCAGGGTCTAGCAAGCTATTAACATAGCAAGGGATAAGAAAATATTAATTAAACAGAACTTGCAATAAAGAAAGCCTAAATAGGGCTCTCTTTACAGGAAGTGTTTATGGAAGGCTGTGCAAGTCACATGCAGGGAGGTGTGACTAGGGTTCATAAACAAAGGAATTTATCTCCTAAATGGCAGAGGATTGAGCAGTGAGGCTGCAGGGGCATGTTCTATACACTAAAGTTGTTCAGGTGACTATAGTGTTCCTTTAATTATCTCACAGTGGAGAGTGCAACATTTGGATATGTTGCAGTAAAATAATTATACACCACATTATATCTGCTTGTCCTTTTTAAAAAAATAAATAAAAATTCCCTTATTGAAGTACTGAAATCACGGGGAGGCATTGATTTTGATTTTCTGTTGACACAGATTTCACACCTACACCCACACTGCTGCCTCTCCAACACAGAATGACACTCTCTCCCTGACAGCACATTGGCCAACTACTTCCGGTCCGTTCTGGGCATGCGCAGAGCGAGTGAGCGGCACTTCCGGTTCGCAACCCAGACGCCCCGCCCCCCGTGTGACCCGCCCCACCCACTTTCCTCCCGGCCAATCGGGAGCTGCCTCACCTGACCCAGGCGCTGTGCTGACGTCATCGGCCACATCCACCCGTACAGCCGGGGGTTACGGACTCGGTCCGGTGTGCGGTTAGCGGAGAGCGGCAGCTGCAGGTACCGAGCAGTCACTCTGGCAGACCGGCCGGCAGTGTGTGCCTGTATTAGCGCATTACCGGGCTGTAACAGTAGGGGGCAGCACGGAGCCTGTCTGTAAGGGGTTAATGTATCACTCCCTGCCTTTATTATCATATCGCGATAGACAATGTTATCATATCGCGATAGACAATATTTACTGACAAGCGGCCTCTGCTACAGCGACACCAGAGAGCTAGAGAGCCAGTGTGTCAGCAGCCTGGCAAAGCATCATGGGAGTTGTAGTTCTCCATCAGCTGGGCACCTGACCCAGCCCTGCCCTGCTCCATGGATCACTTGTGGCCTCACAGCTGCTCTGGACATTGTTTCCATGGTTGCTTAGTAAAGCCCTCTGGCTGCCTGAGGATGATGGGAAACGTAGTACACCATGGTTGGCTGGCTGAATGTGATGGGAAACTTAGTCCACAGCAACTGGAGTGTCAAAGGCTCCCCCAGCTCTGCTGTGTTATAATCACCAGATGGCATAATAGATGTAACCCTATAATAATCACCACCCCAGAGTAAACCTGCTTTGTCTTGTTTTATTATTTGTCTTATATTTTTTAAATCACTTGTATATTCTATGGAGCTATAAAATACATAATTGCTTCAGTTCCTAAGTCTATGGTTTCATGTGTAATGATAGCTCTCAAGGCCAGTATTACTCATCTCTACCAGACACACTCTGTAACCCTATCTACCTCCGTACCCAATTAACTATAGACTCTCTCTACCGATACATTGACTTCCAAAGTCTTTATTCCCATTTATTTTTCTTGCTAGTGGACATCATGTATAATGTGACACCATGGCTGATATGTTCCATTGTATAACACGGAATAAAGAAACCATGCAGGCCTGGAGGGTACACAATCAACATGTATAATTAAATAATTACATGTTTTAAATTAAAAAACGTACTCATACGTTTAAAAAAAATGTACGTATAAAAAATTGAGATGTGTCCCTGCTTGAGGAGTAAAAATAGGTTTGTTTTTTGAGCTTCATGTTACTAATTCACGTTAGATTTTTGAGTGCAGAGTGTATCAAAGTTAAGGGATCAACAAAATATGCAGGATGCTTCCTAATTCTTTTTGTTTGTTGTTTTTTTTTTAAATTGTTACAAGGACGCAAAAGAATAGTTTTCTGTTAGTTTTTGAATTTAACTCCCCATTGCATGTCCGCATAGATTGCAAAATTTATGTTTCCAAAGAAGGAAGTCACAGAATTTCTTAAAATCTGCATATTCTAAATGTTTTCACAGCTAACCTTACTCTGATATTAAACCAGTGGATGAATAAAGTTGAGTGAAAGAAATCTGAGACAGGATGGTGGGGATTATGACCAGAAGGACCAGTTCTGGTAAGGAGATAAGCAGTAGTCATCTTGCTATGCTACCATTCCAGTTCCAAATGTTAATGAGCATTAGTTCTTATTGTGGGAATTGTGTCCAATCCAAGCATTCACCGATGTTGTGGTGTGCTTCAAATAAAGGATGTGTCTACTGCCACAAAATATATTCAACAGAGTGATGGCATTGTTACAGCTATTATTGGCATTTGACCATTAGTTAGTGTTACATTTCAAGCAATTTATCATGCTTATGGTAGGATTTTCATGAGAGATGCTATAGACCGTAAATGCTTGAACTATAATAATGGTGTTGATGTAATGGCTAATTTTTTTTACTTTTTTATTTTTTTTAAACACATGTTTTATGTGTGCCCCAATTGTGTTTCCTTTTCTATGTACAATTGGGTCTTGACCAGATTTTTTTGGGTTCAGCACGACTTTATTCACAGGTGTTACCTTAGAATTGACCACAGGAAATCTTGAATTTGAGGAGATTTTCTAGAAGCAGCTTAAGTAGAAGTTTTGCAGTTAAAGTGAAAGTCTAAGGACCAAAATTATTTCATCTTAATGAAGTGTTTGTAACATATATTCTGCCACTGAAGCCAATGTGGTTTCTGTTTACATTTTGCACATTTCACATCTGCTTGTGTCTGTCAGACAAAAACAGTCACTAGGGGCTCTGGGCTGAAATAGGTTAAAGGTATTCTATAGTGCCAGGAAAACAAACTCTTTTTCCTGGCACTATAGATTTCCCCTCTGTCAAGGCTCCCTCCCATGGTGCTGGACACAGGTAAGTGACTGAATGGGGTTATGTCCCTTGGAGTTGGCTCAGCTCCGCCCATGCTCCTCCCCTGTCGAAGTCTGCCGGCGGGGAAACCTAATGCGCGGCAACGATCACGCTTGCATTAGGATCTCCCCATAGGAAAGCATTATTCATTGCTTTCCTATGGGGGAAATCTGACGCTGGAGGTCCTTATGCAGAGCGTGAGGACGTCCAGCGCCAGATAATGGACCAAAAGTCTGTTTCAATTCCAGAAGTCCCTCTAGTGGCTGTCTGGTAGACAGCCACTAGAGGAGGAGTTAACCATCAGAGGTAATTATTGCAGTTATAATAACTGCAATAATTACCACTGCAGGGTTAAGGATGATGGGCGTTTGCACCCAGACCACTTCAATTAGCTAAAATGGTCTGGGTGCCTACAGTGTCCCTTTACTTTTTTGAATCTATTTGTGTCTGGTTTCCACACTGCACAGTGTCTGCGTCCAATGCTACTTGTAGAGAAACATCTTAGCAGCTAAATCCAAAGGCCACTACTCCGTACTAATATCTCTTGACCTCTCTGCTGCATTTGACACCGTTGATCTTGCTCTCCTTCTTCAAACTCTTCAATCGCTCGGTCTCTGTGACTCTGTCCTCTGTTGGTTTTCCTCCTCTCTCTCCCAACGCTCATTCAGTGTCTCCTTTTCTAATGACACCTCCTCCCTTCATCCTGTCTGTGTTGGAGTCCCCCAAGGCTCTGTCCTTGGTCCCCTTCTATTTTCTCTTTATACTGCCTCCCTTGACAAACTTATTGTCTCATTTAGATTCCACTACCACCTGTACGCTGATGACACCCAGCTTTATACTGCCTTCCGTTACAAACTTATTGTCTCATTTAGATTCCACTACCACCTGTACGCTGATGACACCCCTGCCATCCTGCAACGTGTCACTGCTTGCCTTTCCTCCATCTCTGACTGGATGTCCTCCCGCTTTCTAAAACAAAATCCCTCTAAAACTGAACTCCTTTGTCTTTCCTCCTCCTAATACTGATCCTCTTCTTTCGCTCTCCCTTCAAGTCAGTGATATCCACATCAGTTCATCCTTGCAAGCGCGCTGTCTTGGTGTCATATTTGATTCTGGTCTCCTCTTTGAGCCTCACATCCAGTATGTTGCCAAATCCTGTAAATTCCATCTTAAAAACATAGCCTGCATCTGCCCCTTTCTTATGTAAGATGGTACCAAAGAGCTTGTCCGTGCTCTAGTAATTTCCCGGATAGATTATTGTAACCCTCTCCTAATTGGTCTTCCAAAAACCGTATTTCCCTACTACAGTCTGTAATGAATGCTGCCGCCAGACTGATTTTCCTCTCTAGTCGGTCCTCTCACACCTCACCCCTCTGTCAGTCCTTGCATTGGCTTCCTGTATCCTATAGGAGTCAATTCAAAGTGCTAACCCATACATATAAAACACTGAACAATTCTAGCCCCTCTTATATCTCTTCATAGATACATAGGTATGTCCCTTCTCGATTTCTATGCTCTGCCTGTAACCTTCTCCTGTCCACTACTCTCACCCGTACAGCCAACTCACGCTTGCAGGACTGCTCGCGGGCGGCTCCCTTCCTATGGAACAGCCTGCCCACCGCCATCAGATTCTAGTCTACTACCATCCCCTAGTCTTCAATCATTTAAGAAGTACCTTAAAACCCATCTTTTTAGGAAAGCTTATGGCCTCCCAGAGTAACCTCTACCTCACATACCTGTCTCTTGCTCTTTCCCGTTGGGCAGCACTCTACTCTCTCCTCCAGCTCTGCTTCACTCCCACCTTATTTGATTGCTATGTCCTGTCCTATTGTGTCTTACACCCCACCTCCTATAGACTGTAAGCTCGTTTGAGCAGGGTCCTCTTCAACCTATCGTTCGTTTAAGTTTTCTTGTAATTGTCCTATTTATAGCTAAATCCCCCCTCTTATAATATTGTAAAGCGCTACGGAATCTGTTGGCGCTATATAAATGGCGATAATAATAATTGAACACAGGCTAGCAAGATTGAAATGTAAGAGCAATGTAGTAAGCGGGTTACAACGGAATTGTAAAACATCTGATTGAGAAAAAAAATATGTAATCATATATGGGACTCAAACTGTAGATGAAAAGCCCCAAATCTCATTCTTGAAATGTTTGAGGCCTAACATGATTGGACAGGAATTAGTCTATCCAATGCTGTATTGGTCCTGGTGCCTGAAGTAATCTTCCTCCCCCCCACCAATATAAGTAGTCAACCCATTTAACAATTGTTTGATTTCCTACTTGGAAGATAATGATCTCAGTGGAGGACATCTGGAGTGCAGTGAGTAGTCGCTGCCGTTGCTGGATTACAGGACTTTTTTAAGGGACTAGAACTCTAGGCACTATAACAACGTTGTCTTATTAAAGTTGTTTTAGTGCCATACATATGCCCCCTTCTATCCTATCTTTCACTTGTAATTAATTCTCTTATTTTAGTGTTTGAAAATGCAGCTACTAGCCTCACCCTCAAGCCCCTTAATTCAGAGAACCAGGAATTATGCTTTGACTCATACCGACTGATACTAGAGTCGCTGATGTCAGCTCGCCTATTGTACTAACTTTGAAGGACTTGTAGGTGTTGCTCTTTGAGAACAAGCATCTGCAATTTTAATGGATAGTGCTTTGCATGCGCACATCACTAGCCATGACTTCAGCATTTTCTAGCTGCTAGTTACAGATATTAAAGGGACACTATAGTCACAAAAACAACGTTTGCTTAATGAAGTAGTTTTGATGTATAGATCATGTCCCTCAGTCTAACTGCTCAATTCTCTGCCATTTAGGAGTTAATACATTGTTTATGCACCCTAGTCACACCTTTGTACATGTGACTTCACAGCCTTCCTAAACATTTAATGTAAAGAGTCATCTAATGTTTATACTTTCTTCATTGCAAATTCTGTTTAATTGAAAATTTCTTATCCTCTGCACTGTTAATAGTTTGCTAGACCCTGCAGGAGCTTCCTGTGTGTGATTAAAGGACCACTCTAGGTACCCAGACCACTTCAGCTTAATGAAGTGGTCTGGGTGCCAGGTCCAGCTAGGGGTAACCCATTTTTTTATAAACATAGCAGTTTCAGAGAAACTGCTATGTTTATAAATGGGTTAAGCCTTCCCCAAAGCCTCTAGCGGCTGTCTCATTGGTGAAAATCACAGTGAGAGCATGCAAGCGTCCATAGGAAAGCATTGATAATGCTTTCCTATGCGACCGGCTGAATGCGCGCGCAGCTCTTGCCGCGCTTGCGCATTCAGCCGGCGGGGAGGATCGGAGGAGGAGAGCTCCCCGCTCAGCGCTGGAAAAATGTAAGTTTTACCCCTTTTTCCCTTTCTAGAGCTGGCGGGAGGGGGTCCCTGAGGGTGGGGGCACCCTCAGGGCACTATTGGGCCAGGAAAACGAGTATGTTTTCCTGGCACTATAGTGGTCCTTTAAAGTTCAATTTACAGAGCAAGAGATAAAAACTTTTAAAGTAAGTTACATCTGATTGATAGTGAAACCAATTTTTTTCATGCAGACTGTGTGAGTTACAGCCAGGAGAGGTGTGACTATGGCTGCATAAACAGAAACAAAAGTGATTTAAAGGACCACTATAGTGCCAGGAAAACATACTAGTTTTCCTGGCACTTTAGTGCCCTGAGGGTGCCCCTGCCCTCGGTCCCCCTCCCGTCGGGCTCTAGGGGGAGGAAGGGGTTAAATTTACCTCTTTCTCCAGTGCCGGGTGGGGAACTCTCCTCCTCCCCTCCTTCCTCTTCTTCCGTCACCGGCTGAATGCGTATGCGCGGCAAGAGCCGCGCGCGCATTCAGCAAGTCCATAGGAAAGCATTTACAATGCTTTCCTATGGACACTGGTGTCTTCTCACTGTGATTTTCACTGTGAGAAGCGCGGAAGCCCTTTAGCGGCTGTCAATGAGACCGCCACTAGAGGCTGGATTAACCCATAAGTAAACATGTTTACAGAAAAAAGGGTTAATCCTAGCTGTACCTGGCACCCAGACCACTTCATTGAGCTGAAGTGGTCTGGGTGCCTATAGTGGTCCTTTAACTCCTAAATGGCAGAGAATTTAGCAGTGAAATTTCAGAGGCATGACCTATACACCAAAGCTGCGTCTTTAAACTAAAGTTGTTTTGGAGACTATAGTTTCCCTTTTGATAGGTAGGAAGTAAGCGGCGAGCTTAGCTGCCACTCAGTTTGCCACTTGTAAACGCATGCATGCGTGATGTAGTATAACGCTTGGTAACTTCACAGGGAGCTGACTACTGTCATCACTGGAATAAAGTTAAATATTTTTTTTTTAAGTTGGATATGTAAAATGGGTACAATATATAAATTAGCAAATTAACCCAGATGAAGCAGTTTTTTTTTAAAGTGTTCCTTTAAGAGGTTGTTTTTTTTTACATGTTTAAAATACTGTGTGTGGGGGGGCGGAGCTAGCACCCGACGGCAACGGTCGCTCTCTTCTTGAGCTCCGTCAAGCGGGCACGAAAAACGCCCAAATCCTGCTGAACACAGGGGTATAACACCCCCCAACAGGCTTCGGACAGCTCTCCTTACGCTGGGGAGAAAAACTAAAAAACCCCGTCCGGATCGACCGAGATTCTGTGCCGATATCGGTGACCTCCTGAGGGGACCGCATGGCGCGGGGAGAACTGACATGGTGGCGGACATGGGAGATTTCTCAGATGACTCGGCTGACTATTCCCTCCACAATATAGAAGAGCGGGGAATCAACCCTCCAACATCTGCCCAGCCAGCAGCCAAAGGGTCAGAACCACTCACCACAGGGATACTTACCGGCCTCCTGGCGGACCTCCGCCACAGCCTCTCCTCAGAAATCTCCCAGGTGAGAGAAGACCTCAAAGGGTTTAACGGGCGCCTAAATACAATTGAGCAGACAACCACAACGCATGCAGCCCACATCCTAGAGCTGCAGAATCAGATTGCCACTCTCACTGCAGCTCACACCACTCTGAGTCACCAATTAGCAGCAATGGAGGACAAGAGAAGGTGGAAACCCCTAAAGATCAGGGGCCTCATGGACAATATCACACAAGCAGAACTGCCTCACTGCCTGCGTAGGCTCTTCACAGCCCTGTTATCACCCAAACAAGCAAAAGGTATCACACTAGAGGGGATGTTTTGGCTCCCAAAGCCTCCTGCAGCTGCGGCCTCCAACACCAGCGACCTACTGGTCAAATTCCAAAACGGCCAAGATAAGGCAGCCATCATGAAAGCAGTGAGGGGGAAACCCCCATTCCGCTTTGAGAAAATGGACATTACCTTCTACTCAGATCTCTACCGACCGACACTTCAGTGGCGTAAGACGCTAAGACCCCTCACATCCATACTATCAACGAAAGGAATCAAGTACCGATGGGGCCCAACACACATGCTAATTATCCAGCACCAAAACACGGAGATCAAGGTAGCGGAGGCATCGCAGATAGAGGCAACCCTGACCACTCTGGGCCTGAACCATGCAGCAACGCCGGCACCGACAACATGGGACCCGGCCAACTCTGTCCCGTTCATCCCGGCAAATCGGAACATACCCAGCCGTGCAACTACGTGACTCTGGACATTACATATTTTCATTTATATAGTTTCTTTTATATATTGTTACTTAAACTCTTGTTTTTTTTTTTTTAGTATTATGAGGCACAGGCACCTCATAAGGCCAGCCTCACGCTGAGAAACTGTAGACGCAGCATAAGTTATACCGTTCGTATTGTACCCCCTCTGTTTTTGTTTGTGTTTTATACACCTCTTAGACACCGCGCAACATACCACACCATGCATTAACAGCGGGCCGTACCCATCTCCACCACCTCCCAGACCTAAACAAGCCGAAACTCAGAAACACTAGCTCCTTAACGAACACCTTACCCCCCCAGCTCCGCGCTAGGAACCACTTACGCCCACTCAACCAAGTGGAGCTGTGCCTACTCAGCACCCAACCCGCCATAGAAATATATCGCACTCTCTCTCAATTTCTGATACCACAGAGCCATACATGTCCCTGACACCTACACTAACCACAACCATCGCTAAAGACATGACCATGGCAGTAACAAGCTACATTACCATAAACAAAAAATCACAGCCAACATCGCTATCCCACCAATGTATGCAGAAGATTAAAAACAGTGATATGCTTCATTGAATGTATTATATGCAATATATATATCTTGTTGACTGTGAAAAAATAAAGAATAAAAAAAATAAAATACTGTGTGCTTTATATCCCTATGTTGTATCACCAAACTGTCTTGTAGGCATTATATCTGATATCTGATTTGTATGCACTATAAAATTTGACTTTGTGCTTCCTTCCCTGTGCTGTAATAATGCTTAACTGATTGGCACATAAGTTAAAGGGACATTCCTGAAAAGCTTTATGTGTGAAGTGTGTCCTCTTTTTTTATTTTGCAAATAGTGCAGATTTTAATAGAAATTGATACTTTTATAAATGAAAATGGTTACACCCCCTTGGCATTCAAGCATTCGGTTACTTCCTGGCTTGGTTAGCTCAGTGGAGCTAAACTCAAGACACCGCAATTACACAGAGCACCTGCCTTGCAAAGACTTCTCATTGAGCTGCATTGGGAAGTCTGTGAGTGGACAGCCATAGAAAGTCTGCAAACCATTTTTAGATTTGCCCACAATGAGAAAAAATGCATTGCAGTTTTAATTTGGGGTATATCTACTGAGGGTGTACATGTATTCCTTGAGCCTATAATGCTTGACCCACCATTTAGGTGGCTTGCCCCCCTATAAAAGTTTAAAACTCACCCTATTTCCAGCGCCGCGCGGGTCTGCCGGCATGGGCTCCGCCCCTTTTGTGACATCTAAATGGCTGATTTTTAGCCAATTGGAAAGCATTGGATTGGCTAAAATCGGCACGTGGGCAGGGCCAAATGCTGTTTTGGCAAATCAGGACCTTATATGAGGAAAATTCAGCGTCTCCATGCAGAGCGTGGGGACGCTGAACTGCAGTGTTTACATAAATTTGCCTGAATGGAGATATTATACTCATCAGAACAACTACATTAAGCTGCAGTTGTTCTGGTGAATATAGTGTCCGTTTAACCCCTTAAGGACCAAACTTCTGGAATAAAAGGGAATCATGACATGTCATGTGTCCTTAAGGGGTTAAAGGACCACTATAGGCACGCAGACCACTTCAGCTCAATGAAGAGGTCTGGGTGCTAGGTCCCTCTAGTTTTAACTCTGCAGCTGAAAACATAGCAGTTTCAGAGAAACTATGTTTCACTGAGGGTTAATCCAGCCTCTAGTGGCTGTTTCACTGACAGCCGCTAGAGGCACTTCCGCACTTCTCACTGTGAAAATCACCGTGAGAAGACGCTGGGCGTCCATAGGAAAGCATTGAGCATTTGGCGCTGACATCGGCAGGAGGAGGAGAGTTCCCCTGCGCAGAGGAACCCCAAGGCTGGAGAAAGGTGTTTCAACCCCTTCAGCCCAGTGGAAGTGGGATCCTGAGGATGGGGGGGACCTAAAGACCCTATAGTGCCAGGAAAACAAACTCTATAGTGGTCCTTTAAGCCGGGGTAATTCTTAGTATTTGTATGTAAAATTTCATTTATTTTACAATAATATTTTTGAAGGCATTTTTAGCTTTTTAGAGCTGCCGTGTATAGATCTGCTTTTAACATGGTTATAAAATGGTACAAAATATACATATATTTTTTCTTTCCAGGTGCATTACAGGATTGAAGTAGGATGACATCCTAGTGACGTGTGTCTTTCTTAGAATTTCACAGCCAGAGAAGCCTTTGCTCTTTTGACATAATCCTGATTAAGGGTTGGCTTGCCAAGGAAAGCAATGTTTACAAAGCTTAAAAAGAAAATTGCAGAGGAGGCAGCCATTTCTCCAAGACCAGGAGGAGCTGCTCGAATTCCCCGCACCATTAGCAAAGAGTCCATCACATCTGCAGGAGCTGACTCAGGAGATGATTTTGTAAGTTCGATATATTTTTCGTCTTTCTTGCAATTGGTATCATTTGTTAAACATATGTCTTATATTAAGGGATTTAAAGAAGAACTGTCATGTGAAATTAGCACCCTCTGATAAGTGCCTAAAAGTCAGCTGTTGTGTTTGGGGATTTTTTAACTCCCCGTTTTTTACATTTGCAGTAAATGTAAGGCTTTGTGCCTGGCATTTTAGGCAAATTACTATTGCGACATGATACAATGTAGCAACTACCAGATCATGCATTGGAAACGCATTTTTACTTCCCTTTGCATCAGAAATCACCATATATATTTTTTTGTTATACCCAAGGAAATGGAGGGTGTACTTTTTGCCTACGTAGATTGTGATATTTTGCAAATTATGGCATTTTTTTTTCATCCTTATATGCTGTAAAAATGTTTTGTAAATGGGCTAATATTGGCCTTGTTAGAAATTTTTTGGGGATAAGCTTTTCTAATAGGTTTTTTTTTTTATATTGTATGTTATAAATTAAAAAAAAAAAAAAAGTTTCAAAAGCTTATCCAGGAATGTAAAATTGAGGCCATTGTTTCAAATCTATCCAGTAGGAGCTATCAGATTGCATGTTGTGACATTTTATTTTGTTAAAACTCGGTACTAAACCATCTCCTCTTGTTTGATTTCTGCCCCAGTCATAAATATATTACAAAAATGTTTACATTTAGATAAACAGGTGACCAGGTGCATGCTGAGAGAATTAATTCCCTTAAAACCATTTTATTGACATTTACTGTGAGTTCATTTTATTAGGTTAGGAGTGGCACTCTTTTCTTGTTCTACAATGGAGGGCCAAGATTGCACACCACTAATTTAATCGGATATGAGCTATATTGCATTCACTCACTGATGGTTTCACAGGCATCAGACGGCAGCAGTTCCCGAGATGATCTGTCCTCACAAATCTCCAGGAAGAATGAACAGATCCGGAGGCTGGAAGCCAAACTGTCAGGTATTGTCCTACAGAGCATGAAGTCCTTGACGTAAGAGTTACATTTCTGTCGCTGCCTTTTTGTTTTCTGGCCTCTTTCATTCTGCATTTGAGATTCCTGGACCTGACGCTTACCTTGTCACTGTGAACTACAATTCCCAAGTTACCCAGTGGAAATTTAGAGTGGGAAATGTAGTCTACAAGTTCTGCAGTGCTAAGGTTAAATAATTACTGATGTGACTTTGCTTTTAATATGTAATTTAAAGGGGACAAGACAGAAAAGAACCCCCGACACCTTCCCTTTAAATGCATTATAGATATTTGTAATGACAAAAGATACAAAGAATTCTACTTTTAATTGTAAATCCAAGAATGACATCCAACCTTTTCAGTCCTCCCTTCAGCACTGTGCATATCCCATGATTCCATAGTGTTGGCTTACCAAGTACTTTAATCAGCATAGCCAAGGGCTAGACTTATTGATATACCGATGCTTGCTGATTAGTGTAGCTCTATATAAAAGAGAAGTAAGGTATGTGAAGTCATTGCACCATAAACTATACAAGGAGTACAGATTATTATGGTGACTGTAGAACTCTTTACCACACACAAAAATACAAAACCTGTTTATTATTTATAAATGCATGTGTTATTACAAAGGATGTCACGCAGTCCTGGCTTATGATCTGCTATCAAATATCATCATGTAGGTTTAATTATTCCCCTCAAACAAAAAAAAAACAGAAAAGAAAATCCAACTTTGAGATCCTTGTACACAAATACAATGTTGTTGTAAATGTAGACTCACAGTGCACATATCCTGAGGGACGGCACTCTAAGGTTAGGATATCTGCTGCTGATGACAGCCTACTCTGTGGCTGGACATTAGAACCAGAAAGCTGCAACTGTGGATCGTCTCTCCTTGGCTGCTAACTTGCTAGTTGTGTGTCTGTATGTTGGTGACTTATTAGGTTTTATTGTGAGTATAGTTAATTAGGTTGGTGTAATAGAGAATGGCTTGTAAGGTTTGTGTGTTTGAGCAGTATGGGAAAAGCGTGTCACATGTAAATTGAAGTTTGTCTGACTCTTGGGTCTTAGGGAAATTTGTCAAACCCTGGCCTAGACCAGTGACAACAAATCTTTGACAATATTAGTTTCCAAGCTAAATTTCTCGGTTTTGCCAACTTAAGGGAAAATGCCATTCATAAACCTAAGGTTGGTCATCTCCATTCTGGGGTAGGCTAGACAAGCTCTAACTTTCATCTGCAATTAGCTTTAACTTATTTGGCCCTCTACAAGTTAATCCAAGTTAATTAATTGGTTAATAATCATATGAGGTATAGTTTAAAACAGCTAGAGAGCTATATGTTGGTTCCCTATGAATTACAGAATTGAACACACACAATAAAAGGCTGGGGATGTAGGGGAGATGTAAAGATTCAAGTACAGATACTCCTCACTTACCGACCGGCTTCCATTCTTCCTACCCGATTGTTGAACGAATTTGTCGGTAAGTGAGGAGTTAAGGGATTCCCTGCTCTGGTGCGTTCGTCTATGTTCGGAGAAAATTCCCCGAACATAGACAAACGCACCAGAGCAGGGAATCCCTTAACTCGTAAAAATCCCTTAATGTGTAAAACAGGTAGGTCGCTAAATGAGGACCACCTGTATACAAAACAGTTGTATGAACCGACAGGAGTGATCTATAAATCACATACAGTACAGCATATTTTGCTACATGTGCATTTAATCACACCACTTATTACAAATAGAGATGCCTTACATGCACTACTTCAATCTTATGGTTGACATATCTAGAGTAATCACACCTGGAAGGTTTCACTGGTCCTTTACAATCTGAATAAACTTCAATCTGAGTAAACTTCAATCTGTTTGGAGTAAAGGTGCCCTTGTAAAGGGAAAAAAAATCTTTAATGATGACACTTAACTCAACGATGATACCACATTACATGATTGCACCAATCATCTATTTTTTTTACAGTTTCTTATGTGAACTCTGAAATGATAGATCCAATTAAAAAGAAAATTGTGGCTAATTAAAACATTTTGGATAACCATTAAAATGTACAATGGGAAATTTGTGAAATGCAAAGAAAATCTCATATTGAAAAGCGAAGTTAGAAAATACTGACTCAGAAAATACTGACTCAGAAAATACTGAGAAATGTCTAGTATACTGAAGGCACATGCAGTTATGTATCAGAGCACACTTAGTTTTTTGTTGTTGTTTTTTTTGTCTTTAAAAGGGGACTTTTTGGATGAAATGCATTGCCTTAACACATCACAATGATGTATTCTATTCACCCAGTACATGTATGTTTTGTGGGGGTATGTTCTCTTTTGGATTTGAAGTAAAATATTCTGTTTTATTACCCGAATAGTGTAATACATAATTTTCAGTACGTAAATAACTAAGCATGCGTTCACACCAGTCCTACATCCATGAGTAAATGCACTAAGGCTTGATAAAGAAAAGCGCTTTTAATCTAGGAGAACTTTTTTTTTTTTTTATTAGTTGTGAGTTTCCGTTCATTTAATAGAAAGTAAACCTGTTCTGTAGCTCTGTGCAAAAGTGGTAATTTTAGAAATGTTTGTAGATACCAGGAAAAAATGAAATGCAGAAGACAATTAGTATTTACACCACTGTAAGAGAATTCTATATCAGCACTTGTCCTTATCATGCACACGTCTAGTTATTCTCTAGTATTGCAGCCTGGTTTACGTTAATTTTTTTAATTTATTTTTTAAGAAATCTATCTCCACCAAAATTAAACATGATTTCTGTGCATATTACAATATATTTTATCCCATTGTTTGTCAGTTTTATTTAAAAAGGATAAGGTCTATTTCCAATCAGTACACTTACAATTTTAGACCAAAACTCCATGATTTAAAATAGATGTCGGCACTGTTCATGTTAGATTCACTGTTGGATTTCCACCCATGGTCCATGTGCAATACGCAGTAGATCATTGATTATCTGCCAGTGCATTGGCATTCCTAACCTTATGTGACCTGTGGCAAACCAATGTTGGTACCGAATCTTCTCACCACCTCTACCATTGTATCTTTTATGCAAACAATTCCCTTTGTGTTATGTCCTACAGTTTTACTTCATCAAAAAGTAGCTGTGTAAATAAGAAGTGCAAATTTCCCTGTCCTTTTCCCACTCATGTTTTTGTTTTTTTTTTTTGTGTGTATCCTTTTTTTTTTTTCTTGTCCACTTGTTTTCTTTCCCACTTTATCCTCTCCTTGTTCTTCCACCCTGTTCGTCTCTTTCACCTGCAAAGATTACGCAGAACAGGTCCGAAACCTGCAGAGGATGAAAGAAAAGCTTGAGGGTGCTTTAGAAAAATACCAGGATTGTACGTATATCTCCAACCCTTTTGTCATTTTCCTGTCCTGCCCCTTTCCATAACCTCATACTTCTTCTTAAAACACATTTTAGAAAAAAAATGTGTTCGAAAACTACCTATATTAACCTTTTTCCACTTTCATTTCTAACATAACATATATAACGTTTGTTTAAAAGTTTCTTAAAATGGCAACACTTTAATACCAAACTAGTTAGGAAATTGTATTTCTCTTTCTCTGTTTATATAATGCCAATTTTATTCTCTCAGAAACATTTTTTTTAAAATCATATGGCTGATTTAATCATCTAATCATCTTTATGTTTATATTAACAGTTCGTGGTACACCCATCAAGTATTTGTTTATTTTACATATGTTTTATTTAGGGCTGTTATTCAGTTCTATATAGTTTCTTAATTTTATACTTTATTCTTTAGAATGTTAGCCACAGACAAGTAGTCTCCAGTGTCATAAAGTTATAAGGTTATAAACTAAACTGTAAGTTGTGGTGACATGAGAAGATGCAAAATGTAAAAAAAAAAAAAAAAAAAACTTAGCTGAGATGTTTTTTTTTTATTTTTTCTTGTGTCTCAAGTCAACTTGCAGTTGAGTGTAAAGATCCTTTTGTGAAAGCCTTGTGTTCTAGAAGTTACATCCTCATTTGTATATGTGGGATTTTGTTGCCTTTGTCACACTTTGACATTTAAGTGATGAGCAATACACGTTAAGTATTTGTCTCACTAAAAGTATATTTTTTTTAGTATTAGGAATTGTTAATTACGCCAAATTTCCCTATTTACAGTGCTAAAAATATAATGCTTTGCTCTTATTTTAGCGTCCATGCGGAAATTGCAAGAGCAAAATGAAGCCTATCAAGCAAGCCGTGCAAAAATGGCAGACGAGCTGCTGTTGGCGCTTGAAAAAAAGGACCAGGTGAGCTTTGTGTATGTGGGACTATTTTTCTTGCTGTTATTCATTGTATGAGAGGAGAGTAACATTGTTGTTTTTTACATGTTCCAAAGAATGGCATCATATAAAGCTAAACTTAACAAATTTGCTTTGAATCTAGGAGCCAGCTAAAAAAAGTTAAGAGCCAGTATTTTTTTTTAAAACTTAAAAATGTACATTATATTTATTTTCAACGACAAAAATACAATTCTTGAAGGGACACTATGGTCACCAGAGCTACAACACCTAATGTTGTGGTTCTGGTGTCTATTGCCTGTCACTGCAGGTTTTTCAATGTAAACACACTAGGTTTTCAAAGAAAAGGCAGTGTTTACATTGCTGCCTGGTACCACCTCTAGTGACATCACCAAGATGGCCACTGGAGGTGCTTGCTCTGCTTAGAGGCATTGAATGTTCCCCATAGAGATGCATTGATTCGATGCATCTCTTTGAGGAGATGCTGATTGGCACAGTGCAGCATTTTTCTGCGCATGCACAGTAGCTTGCCAATGCTTTCCTATTAGAAAGCATTGGGTTGACTGAGATCATAATCATCTCAGCCATTGAGGTGAGGCCAGCTGCTATAATACCGGCGCGGCATGAGGTAAAAAGTGAGTAAATACACCTTTACCATACGATTGGAGAGAGGTCATCCAGACAGACTCGCTGACAGACAGACTCACTCGCTGGCTGAGAGACAGACAGACTCGCTGGCTGAGAGACAGACAGACTCGCTGGCTGAGAGACAGACAGACTCGCTGGCTGAGAGACAGACAGACAGACTCGCTGGCTGAGAGACAGACAGACAGACTCGCTGGCTGAGAGACAGACAGACAGACTGGCTGGCTGAGAGACAGACAGACAGACTCGCTGGCTGAGAGACAGACAGACAGACTCGCTGGCTGAGAGACAGACAGACAGACTCGCTGGCTGAGAGACAGACAGACAGACTCGCTGGCTGAGAGACAGACAGACAGACTCGCTGGCTGAGAGAGAGACAGACAGACTCGCTGGCTGAGAGAGAGACAGACAGACTCGCTGGCTGAGAGAGAGACAGACAGACAGGCTGGCTGAGAGACAGACAGACAGACAGGCTGGCTGAGAGACAGACAGACAGACTCGCTGGCTGAGAGACAGACAGACTCGCTGGCTGAGAGACAGACAGACAGACTCGCTGGCTGAGAGACAGACAGACAGACTCGCTGGCTGAGAGACAGACAGACAGACTCGCTGGCTGAGAGACAGACAGACAGACTCGCTGGCTGAGAGACAGACAGACAGACTCGCTGGCTGAGAGACAGACAGACAGACTCGCTGGCTGAGAGACAGACAGACAGACTCGCAGACAGACAGACTCGCTGGCTGAGAGACAGACAGACAGGCTCGCTGGCTGGCTGACAGAGACAGACAGACAGGCTCGCTGGCTGGCTGAGAGACAGACAGACAGACAGGCTCGCTGGCTGGCTGAGAGACAGACAGACAGGCTCGCTGGCTGGCTGAGAGACAGACAGACAGGCTCGCTGGCTGGCTGAGAGACAGACAGACAGGCTCGCTGGCTGGCTGAGAGACACAGACAGGCTCGCTGGCTGGCTGAGAGACAGACAGACAGGCTCGCTGGCTGGCTGAGAGACAGACAGACAGGCTCGCTGGCTGGCTGAGAGACAGACAGGCTCGCTGGCTGGCTGAGAGACAGACAGGCTCGCTGGCTGGCTGAGAGACAGACAGACTCGCTGGCTGGCTGAGAGACAGACAGACAGACAGACTCGCTGGCTGGCTGAGAGACAGACAGACAGACAGACAGACTCGCTGGCTGGCTGAGAGACAGACAGACAGACAGACTCGCTGGCTGGCTGAGAGACAGACAGACAGACAGACAGACAGACTCGCTGGCTGGCCGAGAGACAGACAGACAGACAGGCTCACTGGCTGGCTGAGAGACAGACAGACAGGCTCGCTGACAGACAGGCTCGCTGGCTGGCTGACAGACTGGCTGGCTGAGAGACAGACAGACAGACTCGCTGGCTGGCTGAGAGACAGACAGACAGACAGACAGGCTGGCTGGCTGGCTGGCTGACAGACTGGCTGGCTGAGAGACAGACAGACAGGCTCGCTGACAGACAGGCTCGCTGGCTGGCTGACAGGCTGGCTGGCTGACAGACAGACAGACAGACAGGCTCGCTGGCTGGCTGGCTGACAGACAGACAGACAGACAGGCTCGCTGGCTGGCTGGCTGACAGACAGACAGACAGACAGGCTCGCTGGCTGGCTGGCTGACAGACAGACAGACAGGCTCGCTGGCTGGCTGGCTGACAGACAGACAGACAGGCTCGCTGGCTGGCTGGCTGACAGACAGACAGACAGACAGGCTCGCTGGCTGGCTGGCTGACAGACAGACAGACAGGCTCGCTGGCTGGCTGGCTGACAGACAGACAGACAGGCTCGCTGGCTGGCTGGCTGACAGACAGACAGACAGACAGGCTCGCTGGCTGGCTGGCTGACAGACACACACACTTATATTGATACACACACTCATTCCCCCCCCCCCAAAAAAAATAGTTATTTATTTATTTAAGCCCACCCAGCCTCCCTATCATTGGAATAGCTGAAGTGGATCCTTTATCTGGGGTCCAGTGTGGATACTTTCCTTTGGGTCCAGCAGAGCTGCTGCGATCATGTTATCTTCTTGCTCTGCTCCCTCGTACACCATTTAGTGGTGCTGGGCCCAGAGTCATATCTCAGTTCCTGGTATCACAGCAGGGTGTGCAATGGAGAAGAGCAAGAAAATTACAGCTCCCTTCCTGCCACTACCATTTTTCCTCAGCTGGCCACGAAGGACCGACAAACACCAGGCTGAACAGGCTGACAAATACCCAGGCTACAGGACAAAATTCCTAGTCGTAATGGTGACCTGGTGCCTGTGATTTGTCAATATAAAAGTGTTATTTTTTTTACATTTCTTTCTGGTAACCACTTGTATGATTTTCACTGTCTGTAAGAGTATTTTTTGTGTAGGAATATGGACAATGGGAGGGGTGTAAATAGGTTATATGGCACATGGGGGCGATTGTGTGGTTTTTTTTGCATAGGGGTTTACCCTATGTTTGTCTCTTAAACCCCCCTTAACCCTTGTGTGTCTTTTACCCTTGACCTTTACACTCCCTCAACACCTTTACTGTGCCTCCTAACTTTACTTTTGTTTACATCTTGTGTCTCTGAGACAGCCTTACCACTTGTGTTCCTGCTTAACCCTCCACATCCCTTCTGTTACTCTTAACACCCCCTCTTCTTTCTCATTGCATATCTACCAATTCCCCTATCTCTTTCTGTCTCTATACCAGCTTGAGGATCCCTCTAGAATAGGACTGATTGTTAGGTAGATCCTGCGAGAAAAAAACATGAATGTGAGCCAATTTAAGAGGCAAACTCAAAGTACCAGGACCACTGCAGCTTATTGTAGTGGTTCTTGTACAAAGCAATTGCATTGCAGAGACAAACACCATCTTTTCTTAAAAAAAAATAAAAATCAGGGTTTACATTTCTTGTTATGTCCTCTTCTAGTGGCTGTTCATAGGCAGTTAGTAGAGGCACTTCCTGGTATGGTCATACAATCTTTGCAGGACCAACACTCCGCATCTTCACGCTGCAAGAAGACGGTGAATATTCGCCATAGAGATAACTTAAGGCAGTGCCTTTCTAAAAGTAGATGCTGAATAGCGTAGTGATTTCTGCATATGTGTACTAGCCCTACAATACATTAGGTCCCACCCATCCTTAGGGCCCCCCTCCCGCTGGGCTGAAGGGGTTAAAATCCCTGCAGCCACTTACCTGTCTCCAGCGCCAGGCTCCCTCTGTGCTGGGAAACTCTCCACCCCCTGCCGACGTCCGATCAGAACGCAAGAGGCATGAAGGCAAGAGCCTCGCGTGCATTCAAATAGCCCATATGAAAGCATTACTCAACGCTTTCCTGTGGACGTCCAGCGTCTTAGTGAGAATCGCGGAAGCGCCTCTAGCGGCTGTCAGTGAGACAGCCACTAGAGGCTAGATTAACCCTTAGTGAAACATAGCAGTTTCTCTGAAACTGCTATGTTTACAGCTGCAGGGTTAAAACTAGAGGGACCTGGCACCCAGACCACTTCATTGAGCTGAAGTGGTCTGGGTGCCAATAGTGGTCCTTTAAGGTAAGTAAATCTATTTATTTTATTTTTTCTGTTGGCTTATAAATCTAAATATACACGAAAACACTCTAACTTTGGGAATATGTTTTCATATCATTACTACTCCTTTAAAACCACAAATGGATATTTTCCATTTGACATATATTTTTATAATTAATTTATATTATAGATATTTGGCTGCACTGTATAAAAGGAATTGCAGCATGTGATGATAAAACAATTTATTACATTTTTTATTTTGACTCTACCCCCCGACCCCCTTTCTTATGTCCTACAGGAATGGATGGCAAAGTTGGCTGATCTTGAAGAGGTAATGTAGTCAAAACCAAAAAGTAATGTGAAGGAAAGCTGATTTTATGCACATACATCTGCAAGTATATATGATCTGTGATCAATGTTTATAACCATGTAGTTACATAGTTACATAGGCTGAAAAAAGACGTGTTCATAAAGTTCGGCCTTTCTCACATTTGTTTTTTGCTGTTGATCCAAAAGAAGGCAAAAAACCCAGTTTGAAGCACTTCCAATTTTGCAACAAACTAGGAAAATAATTCCCTCTTGACCCAAGAATGTCAGATTAATCCTTGGATCAAGAAGCATTTACCCTACATTGCAAAGTAGTTTTAACCCCTTCAGCCTGGCGGGAGTGGGGGAACTAATAACCCTATAGTGCCAGAAAAACTAGTTTGTTTTCCTGGCACTATAGTGCTCCTTTAAGAAACCTCTCTGCTTTTGGATGGCACTGCAGTGAGACAGCATTGGTGGAGGTCTTGGAACACACTGACAGGTGGCACTGTGTCTGCAAATACTGCTGCCCTAATCAAAATTGGCAATATACTTAGTAAAATAAAGATTCTCTGGTGGTTAGGTGGTGGAGCACATGATCTACACCAATTGGTTCTTTGCCGTTTCAACTCTCTGTGAAGGAATTTGCACAGTTGCTGTGTTTTCCAGCCTGTGCTCTGACTTCTTCACCGAGCGCCAAACCAGGAGTGAATGATACGTTGTGCAGTAGGTGAAAGTGCAGATTATGCACTCCACTACCAGACCAGGCAATTGTTATAAATACCACTGGACTACCAGGATTTTATAAACAGCAGAGAGAGTAAAACTTTTTTCTATTTTTTTTTAAATTTTTTTATTAATTCAATGAGCTTAAATTAAAACAAACACCCAGCACTTGTATTCCACAGCCCGACTGCTGTTTTCATGTTTATTTGCAGTATAGGCACTTTGAGATAAATATATTGGTTTCCAGTTGCAGTTTAGGCTTGTGTTCAAAAAAGGTTTACTATCACTGCTACAGGATTTGACAAATCTTCCATTGGTCATTTTTAACATTATAGAGTAAATAGTTAGAATTTTAGATGGCTGCTTTGTGAGTATCCAGGACAACTTAGTCTGTGATCTGATTGACATTGACACTTTTACATCTACATACTTTTGTGACCTGAAACCCGTGGAGCTTTAAAACATACAGACCATAATAGTGTTGTAACACAAGGTTAAAGGACCACTCTAGGCACCCAGACCACTTCAGCTTAATGAAGTGGTCTGGGTGCCAGGTCCAGCTAGGGTTAACCCATTTTTTCATAATTATAGCAGTTTCAGAGAAACTGCTATAATTATGAATGGGTTAAGCCTTCCCCCTAATCCTCTAGTGGCTGTCTCATTGACAGCCACTAGAGGCGCTTGCGTGCTTCTCACTGTGAAAATCACAGTGAGAGCACGCAAGCGTCCATAGGAAAGCATTGTAAATGCTTTCCTATGCGACGGGCTGAATGCGCGCGCAGCTCTTGCCGCGCGTGCGCATTCAGCCGGCGGGGCGGAACGGAGGCGGAGAGGAGGAGGAGAGCTCTCCGCCCAGCGCTGGAAAAAGGTAAGTTATTACCCCTTTCCCCCTTCCAGAGCCGGGCGGGAGGGGGTCCCTGAGGGTGGGGGCACCCTCAGGGCACTATAGTGCCAGGAAAACGAGTTTGTTTTCCTGGCACTATAGTGGTCCTTTAACAGAATTAAAATGTTTCACTGTTTAAAGGTTTTACTATATCAGGAATTTTGGAAAATTGTCAGGAGAGTTGTAAATTGTAGGCCAAAATATCTGACTTAGAAAAAAGTCCCCCCTGCCCCCGGTACAGCTGTTTTGGCCTAAGTTTGGCAGGTCCTTGTCTGTCCTCCACAATTCCTGGTTTAGTGAAAAAAATGGTGATCTCAGCAGAATGGTTAAGATACTTCATTGGTGAAAGGAAACCGATTCTAGGATGCAATGTATCTCTATCTGTTCATTTTATGTCTCATCTGTCCTTTAAAGGAAAAACAGCAGTTGTCTGATCAGCTGGATACCATGAAAAAACAAAGCATATCTTTATTCCAGAAGAGGGAAGACCTTGATGAGCTGGGGGTGTTTCAGCAGCAGGAGATGGCAAAAATTAAACACATGGTACAAAAATCTTTATGATTTGCTTTCTGTAGAAGCTTCTGGCTTGGAAAATCTCACTTAAAAGAAAACTTTGGGGATTGATGCCTTATATGTTATTATGTCATATCTTAATTATTGCAAGACTTTTTTATTTACCGTATTTAATTTTGCCCAAACTTGGATGCTATGATTGGCCACTTAAAACCATTGAAAAAAATCATTGTCACCCAAATTTGGACTGATAACCAGGATGGGTTTTAGAGGCCAGAAAAACTGTTTATTAAAACTGCTCAAAAGCGTTTTGACAAAAACCAGCAAGACTATATCAAATGCACACTACACCATAACCACTTTAAATACCTGTAGTAATGGTAGTGCTTAAGGTGTCCCTTTGACCTTTTATTTGATGTTGTTTTACCTTGCAGCTTCTGAAAAAAGAAGAATTGTTAAACCAAGTAGAGAAAGATTTGGATGTTCAAAAGAGAGAATCAGCTGTGACTTGTGCTGAACTTCAGAAAACCAGACAGTGGTCAGAAAAACTGAAAGCGGAACTAGATAAGCTGCAAGAGGAACATTCCCAGCTTACTCAGCAAAGGTTGGTGTTTAAAGGCTGGAGTGTGCTCTTTGACTTTGTCTTGTAAGGTTTCCTTTTGGTTAAATGTATTTTTTCAGAATAGGCCATTGTGATCAATGCTTGGTAGTAGCAGTTTAGTCTGTCTATTTGATTTCCAAGTTGTTGGAGAAAATGAGCCCAACTGATTTAAATAGTTTGTTGCAGTTAATGCAGGTGGTAAAGTCTCTAAACTAAAATAAAGCTTTGAATGTGTCTGCTGCATTCTAATACAACACAGAATAACACGTGCGGTAGTATGGGTAAGGTTGGTTTATGTATGAGTTCTACTGGTGTGTTGCAGTTTCCCAGATGTGTAGGAGTCTGTATGTTTTAAAGGGTTACTCTCCCACCTTCTACAACATCAAGCCACATCACCATCTTTGCTTCTTTGGTCTAATCCAGGTGTTCCCGATTAATTTTTCCCGTGGAACCCTTTGACATAGTGTATCAACATCGTGCAAAAGAAACAAATTGTGATTTTTTTTTTTTGTATGTGCGAGAGTATGTCAAGGTGTGTGTATCTGTATGTCAATGTGCGTATGTATCTGACACACAGATACACACACACACCTTGACACACAGTGTGTATCTGTGTCTGTATGAATGTATCTGTGTGTCAAGGTGTGTGTGTGTGTGTATGAATCTGACACACAGATACACACACACACACACCGACACAGATACACACACCTTGACACACAGTGTGTGTATCTAAGTGTCAAAGTGTGTGTATCTGTGTTTGTATGTGCCGGTGTGTATATCTTTGTGTCAGTGTGTATCTGTGTATATATGTATCTGACACACTGATACACACATACACTAACACTGGCACATAGTGGCACACAGTTACACACTGACACACACATCTTGACTCACAAATACACACACACTCGGATACACACAGTGACATATACACACACTTGCACCCACAGGTACACACACTAAGATACATACTGATGTGTACACACACACAAGCACATAAAAATACACTGACACATACACACTTGGATACACACAGTGACACATAAACCTTGACACACAGATACAAACACAGACACACATATACTCTCACTGACAAACACACATACACTCACTGACAAGCACACATACTCTTTTACAGACACACATACAAACACATATACACTCACACTGACAAACACACATATACTCTTTGACAGACACACAAACACATACAAACTCCCTAACAGACACACATAGAATTTTTAAATTGTAAAAAAATGTTTACTCAACTCAGCCCCCTTAGCTGAGTGTTGGCATGGAGTCTCTATGTCCCATTGGTCCGATGGGGCTGCTGGGCTGAGCGTGCGGTACCTGGAATCCAGTGGGGCTGCTGGGCTGAGCGTGCGATCCCTGCAGTCCAGTGGGGCGGCTGGCGTGTGGGCTGTGCGGGAGCAGTGATCTCCCTGCTCAGCTGCCTCGTGCGCCTCTCAGGGATGCCGGAGCCAGAGTGACGTCATATTCCGGCTCCAGCATCACTGCTGTGCGTGCGAGGGAGCTGAGCAGGGAGATCAGTGCCCACTGCTCCCTCGCCACTCATGGCCATTTTATTTGAATTTTTTTTGGCAGAACCCCAATTGTGTTCTCGCGGAACCCTAGGGTTCCGTGGAACACCAATTGGGAAACGCTGGTCTAATCAATTGATTCTTATGGAGAAGCATTTTTGGACCATGGACAGCGCATGTGTGTAGAATTTCTAAGCAGTGAGATGAGAACAGAAATTCCAAAAGGAAAAGTGGTCATGGTGGGTAAGGTAACATTTTAAGTTTTAGTTGTGCCAATCTGTTGAGGAAGTGCACATGTTTACGTGGGATCTTTATGGATGACACAATGAGTTAAGCACATAGACATATATGTATCAGTTAATTTGCTGGTAATATAAATATAGTGGTGACACTATAGTTACCAAAACAACTTTTAGCTCACTGAAGCAGTTTTTGTGTGTAGATTATGCCCGTACACTACTGAATTCACTGTCATTTTGGAGTTAAACCACCTTTGTTTCTGTTTATGCAGGCCTAGCCACACATTTCCCTACTATGTCTGACACAGCCTGCATGAAAACAAAATGGTTTAATTTTCAATCACATGTAACTTACTTTAAAAGTTTTTATCTCCTGCTCTGTAAGTTTAACTTTTATTACATACTGGAGGCTCCTGCAGGGTCAATCATATTATTAACAGAGCAGGAGGTAATAAATTCTAAATTAAACCGATTTTGCAATAAAGGAAGTGTAAACATTAGATAACTCATTACAGGAAGTATTAAGGAAGACTAAGTAAGTCACATGCAGGGAGGTGTGACTAGTGCTGCATAAACAAAGTAATTTAACTTCCAAATGCCAAACAATTGTGAAGTGAGACGGCAGGGGCATGATCTGCACAAGAAAACTGTTTCATGAAGCTAACGTTATTGATTACTATAGTGTCGAAAGTTATGTGTGTGGTGCCTGTATGGAATATTTGCAGAAGTGGCAATGAAATGCAGAGAGAAAAGGGCAGGGAATAGAACTAGGTGAGTGGGAAAAAAACACAATCTGGGACCGTGGGTGGAAGGGAGAGTCAGAAAGAGCAAGGAAAGATCATCATCTTAACTTAATACATATCAGCAAAACATTCTGATTGTGTACCCCCTTAAGATCCATAAAGACATGCGTTTAAATAATCAGACGCTGCTGTTACAAGTGTGTGGGTTTATTGGTCTTGGTATGATATTGGTGAGCAATATCATATTCAGCGTTTATTTTTCCCACTAAATAATTTAGACTTGACTTCTGTCTTTTTAATTATATACATCACATAGTAAGAACAATTAATGTGATTCTCATACTGTACTCATTTTTACACGTCTTTGCAGGATGGAGCTTACAACGTATCAGGAAGGAGCAGAGAAGAAGATCACAGAATTAGAGAATAGGCAGCAGGAATTGCAAGACTTTATCCAGCAACTCTCCCTAGACTTGCAGAAGGTTAGTTACTAACTTACCATTGAGAACAGATAATCCTGAAAATGTCCATTTTTGAGATCTTATAGCAGAACTGTGATTTGTTCATTATTATTATTTTTAATTTTGAGGGGATATTTAATTTTTCTCGCTAGTACAGCCCCTTTTGTTATTTATGTACACACATGTACACTACCTACTTTCCATTTGAACTGATACTTTTTTTTTTTGTCAATCTTTACATTTAAATCTCTATTTTAAGCAAAAAAACAACTCTAGCTTTACAAAGTAGTTTTGGTATGTAAAGCATGCCCCATGCAAACTCTTTGCCTGACTCTCTGCCATTTAGGATTTAAATCACTTTTGTTTCTGTCCATGCAGCCCTGGCCACCTATAGCCTGGTTGTGACTCACACGGCTTGCATGAAAACAAAATGGTTTAATTTTCAATCATCTCTTACTGAACACTGTATTTACTTTAGAAGTTCTCCTGCACTGTTAATTGAACTTTAATCATGCATATGAGGTTTATCAGGATATTAACAGAGTAGGAGATAAGCAATTATAAACACATTGTGCAATATGGGAACCTAACAAATGTAGATTATTTTTCAGAAACTGTGTAGGGAGGCTGTGTGAGTGTTGCAGTATGGCTAGGGCTGCATACACAAAGTGATCTAACTCCTAAAGGCAGAAGGTTGAGCACTGAAACTCCAGGAACATTAACTATAGTATACACTAAAACCACTTAAATAAGTAAAAAATGTTTTAGAGGTTATAGTGTCCCTTTAAGACAGAGCATTAAGGTGATACTACCTTAAACACAGTACGAAGTGTCTTGCACATTCACAAACACTGTTAAAGTGTGTGTGTACATTGCTATAGAATAGGCTCACAAGTCCACTGAGATCAGTCTGTCAGTAAGTCGGGATATTTGGAGCTTTGGCCTATGTTTATTGCAGCTGCACTAGCACTCAGTTGAAGAAAGCTGAGTGGATGTCCTTGCATTGACAGTTGCAGGATTAACACAATCCACTGCATTAGGTTACTGGGACACATTGCAGAACACAACATGCCTCAAGACCCCTGACTGCCTGCAAAGGGAAGCGGCAGCAGCCACTGTTAACATAAAAATCATTAAAGGAAGTAGAAAATGAAGGGACTGTCTGCCTCTCAACAGCAAATTTATATATAAAATAATACTTTTAGAGGCGGCGTGGCTTGGACTCCGGAGAGAACAGACACATGGTGGCTGCGCTCCCGTTCCCTGCACCATATAACGGCATCATACAGTGTTCACTCACCCTGCACCGGGCCAAAACTCAGTCCCACGTCACTCCACAATATTGGGAAGAGGGCTAAGAAAATTCAAATCCTGGCTGGAGATGGCCCCCGCAGTATTAGTGACCTTCTACAACTGTGGCCTTAACCCAAAATGGTGTTTTCATGAGCTGTAAGCCATAATCATCACACTTATGACAAATCACGGCTTGAACTATCTTGCTTTGCATGTAATGCGTCTCTCATATATTAGTTTCCCCTTTTACGTTGCATTACTGAAATAAATGAACTTTTACGCGATATTCAAATTTTTTCGAGTATCACCTGTATGTTGTAACATGTCCATCCATAGCCATGCAGAATAACCCTGCCCCTTTATTACAGTTACAGTAGTTATAAAGATTTCCATGTCAATTATTGTTTATTTTGCTCCCACTATAAGTTTGCTTTTTTTCCATGTAATTTCAGACTCAGTCTTCAGCTTCTGGATGTGAGAAGAGACTAGGGGAGGTGCAAGCCGACTATGAAGATTTGAAAGTACAGCACGAACAGCTTAAAGCTAAAGTAAAGTGTTTCATACACCTTCTAATGAATATTTGCTCTCTTTAGTGGTAACAAGCTCTATTTCTGTGCATTCATTATTTTTTATTATTATTTACAGATATTTAATGATATTATTAGCATTTCTAAGATCAGTACAGCATTTCAAAGATCAGATTCAGATCCGAGTTATTGCTAATGTAGTTACTCTCCACCAGATTGCAGTGGAGACTGGAGAGAAAGATGCCTTGATCACCCGTCTGCAGGACAAAGTCAGCTCACTGGAGAGAATGCTGGAGGGATCGTACTCCGGAGAGGAAGGACTACAGGAACTACTTAAAGAGGTAGCCTGCTATTCACTCGTCAATGCAGCTTTTATCAGCCCAGTGGCTTGGCAGTTCTGTGTGGACTGAACCAGAGCCTGTTTCTTCACACCTCACTAGTATAGCTACACATGACTTGTCCTCTAGAAATCATTGGATGGCAAGTATGTAACCAGTAACAAGCATGTGGCAGTCCTGTGAAATTTCTATATCTATAAACAGAGTCGAACTGTCACTGAGCAGTACATTTCTCATATCACTGGTTCTTAAAAAAAAAAAAAAAAAAGCTTATTTTTTCCCCACTTATAGTGGCAGTACCAGCGGGATAATGAGGGGATGGACTTTTGGTATATGTAGCAGCTTGGTCTTCCCTTACCAGAGTCTCTTCTTTTCAGGTGGTATAGTTGGATTGCAGAAAGGGGTGCGGGGAGACAGCGCCTGTAGAATTGTTCTCAGATCCTGTGATATATAGAATGAACAAAGAAACTTAATATAGTGTAGTATATTAAAAATCTTGGTGGAGTATAGATAACAGAAATGCACTTACAATTTTCTGGAGCTTATGTTCAGCTCCAGATTGATGCGAATGGACGGAACAATCCTCGTCTGTGGATATAATGGTAGATCCAGGTACTTCTTGGTAAGTTTTTTTTTTTTTTTCTTCTTCTAAGGCTGTGAATTGTTGTACAACTGGTCGGCAGTCAGATGTCCTCAGTGTACAGGGAAGATAAATACAGACTATAGTGCTCTCTGTATGTAATGAGCTGATTTTAAAAAAAAAAGGAATAAAATATACTCACAAACAGAGAGCAAATACAGGTATTGCTCAATCCTATAAGGCTTGGGTGGTATGATCCCCACCGAGGATGCTCCTGTGAGAATCTTCAGGATAAAATTCCACAGGAACATCCAGAAGTACCTGGATCTACCATTATATCCACAGACGGGGATTGTTCCATCCATGCGCATCAATCTGGAGCTGAACATAAGCTCCAGAAAATTGTAAGTACATTTCTGTTATCTATACTCCACCAAGATTTTTAATATACTACACTATATTAAGTTTCTTTGTTCATTCTATATATCACTGGATCTGAGAACAATTCTACAGGCGCTGTCTCCCCGCACCCCTTTCTATAGTACCAGCGGGATGCTCGTAATCATGGTGGACAAGCAATCCTAGGAATAAAGTTAAAATAATAAAACAAGCTGCTCCATCTCATACCTTTAAAAGTTTGTCACAGACTGAGGACTCCAGATCTTAGTTGTCCCGCGGGTGGAACAGACAGGTACTATTTGGACAGAAGATGGTGAAGCTCATGGGTTGTTGCTTGGGGATATGCGGCATGATAGATCCCCGGGTGGTGAGCTGCATGGTTTATAAAAATAAAGCAAGTAGGGGTAATCAATTGATGTACCAAATGGACACAAGCTCTAGGGTGCAAAGGTTATAAAAAAACATCCCCTCTAGTGGTATATCAATAGTCATATAGTTAAAGAAATACCTGCACTCCCATAATCAATATTACTGATTATTGGAGGGCCCCCCTCCTCGATGTCTAGTCCTTTCTCTCCAGACAAACTGGAAAAAGCAGAGAAACCCAAAAGCCCACTCCTGCTCCTGAATTGAAAGAGTCATGTAAATCTAAGCGTTTAGTTTGTGACAAATGTGCTACTCCACTCGCAAATGGATGTAAAAAGAAAACATGTAGGGTGACGGAGTTTGGCAGCCAAGCTGAGCGGCTGCACACTAGACGAACTCCGGGCTCAAGTGGGCAAAAACTCGACAAAAATCCTGCAAACGACCCACTCCATGCCTGCTTTTGAGCCCCAGGGGTACACTGCTACAGTGATGCACAGGTCTTTGGCCAGAATCGGCGGTTGCGGCTGTGGGATAGATCTGAGGCCTGCATAGGGCCTACCCAGACGGCACGAAGGAGGCGGCCAATCCCTCCACCAACTGCGGCCGCATGGGCACCTCGGATGAAACCCTACCGACCGCGACCCCACGAAACTCTGAGCAGCAGCCTACGACTCTGGGACGAGCTTCAGGAATGCGGGAAGAAGGAGACGGGCTGGTAGGCGACAGCCCCAGTACCTTAATCGCCGACCAGTGGTGAGTCGCTCAAAGCCTCAACGTGGTCACCCCCTCAGTGCCCCTCAGCTCGCCAATTTGCTCAACGAAGAGGAAGACTGAGGCACCCACAAGGAGGAAAGCACCAGAGCCATCTCCGGTCTAGCCTAAACCCCCTACACGCTACAGGAACTGATCTGAAAAAGCTACATACCTCTGTGCAAACACCCACATGGAACACCCGCACGCTGCATCCCTGGGAAGCCTGGAAGCAGTCTCCATCGACCGAAGGGATCCGCGGACTCGCTCCCCGCTCAGCACCAACCTTGCCACCTACAGGGATCGGATGAACGGAGAAAAGGGACCCCAGAACGTGAAAGGCTCGACCACACACTGACAGACACTATTTACCTGTGGCAACACTACCCGAGCGACCCGTGATACATGATTAAGGCTTAATTTTAGTGTTATGTTTTTCTTTTCTTTTTCTTTTTTTCCTCTTTTCATGTTTCCCTAACCATACTCTTAAAGCATGTGCAATAAGGGGAGGAGCCAGGGGGCTGACATCGGTAGTTCAACTCGTTAACCTAAATATGTTCATGTTTAAGTATGCACTGCTTATGATGATTAGCAATAATAATGAGAGCCATGAATCTAACATCTGAGATAGGATACCCGAAATATTAACCAATCTGTCCAATCACTTTATCTCTGTTGACAAGCTAACCTAAATCTTAGACATGCATACTCAGTATACAGGATATTCTCCTTTAATTACTTGCTCCATGGTTCATAAATGCAACAGTAATATTGAAATAACCAAAGCCCTATATTCCAGTGGTTGCCTCACTTTGCATGTATATTTCACACCTAACCCATAGGTATGCCTGAGGGTCATAACCTATCTATTTATAACCTCTCACGCACAGGTTAGATTAGAATCCTGTGTTATGCCTGTTTGTATCTTATGTAAACCTGCAGACTACGCTAGATAGCATTTTACCTACCTAGCCAGCGACCTATTACCTTTACTAAATATAAAACTGTGCAAGAACTATTGCATACCCCAATGTTACTAATGTCGAAAAAAATCATGAGGATTGTCGTTGGGTTACCCCATGCAAGTTTATGTTCATATGTACCAAAAAAAAAAAAAGAATAAAAAAAAAAAAAGAAAACGTAATCAATGTTCTGCGGAATTACGTGAAAAATCCTAGCAGAAAAAATTGTTGTTCTTGAGCTGGTTTCAAGAGAAGCTATCGCAAACATTTGAATCCTTTAAGAAATCAGTGATAAAATCCAAGAATCTCTATCTGTCCAGGACAGATTGATTTAAAGAGAAGCAGGTCCACATCTCAGTCGGATTTATCTTTTAGTGAATGTTCCTCCTTTCTTTGAAGTCTCTAACCTGGATTCTTGTGTGTAGGCAGGTTTCCCACCTGAGCAATTAAATAGTCCCATTAAAGAGGTCACGGCGGTTACAGAAGAAGAGGATTCTTTTAAAATAAAATAAAAAAAGGGAAAGAATTTCCTGTAAATCTAAAACTGCTGGATATAGTACATAAAGGGTCCCCAGATAAAGGGACCTTCATTTCCAAATATTTCAAGCAGATCTTTAAATTACATGACACAAATAATTGGTATGATTTACCTAAGGTAGATGTACAAATAGTCAAGCTTTCTAAAAAGACCACCTTACCGATTGGGGCAGCAGCAGGTCTCAAGGACCCTTCTTCAGCCTCCATTAATTAACCTTCTGGACATCAAAAGAGTACTGGAAATCTATATCCAGAGGTCTTCTGTTTCCGGACATCTGATCATCTATTTGTCAACTTCCAAAGTGGGGGGAGGTTGTTCCTCATTCGTTTTGTCTATTTTGGTAGTGAATATAGACCTAATTTTATCAATAAAACAATGAAAGAAAGAAATTAAGCTTTTCATAAATCTGCCAGACACGTTAAAAATCCTTGGCAAAATAAAGATGAATAAAAAATTTAAAATTTTTTTTTTTTTTAATTTTTTTTAATCATTTGAATGAGAGCGATCCAAGAAACCTGTATACATGTGAAAGTACAAATTATGAATGCACCTAATGGATTCACTTTTCACTTATACAGAAGGGTGCCTTGGAGATGAGACTGGATGAGACCAGACAACAACTGCTAGAAGCAAGGACCTTGCACACAGATTCTACCAGCCGGTTGGAAAATGAGGTCAGTACGTATGCCGTGTCATGATCCGCACCTTGCGCCTTTTCATCATACACCCCTGTCCTTGTATAGTAATCTATTATTTTAGACACAACGGCAAATTTAAAACAGACAAGTAAACCTATGAATAGTTTATTACTGTATTGTTTGATCGATGTTTGTTTTCAGGAATTTTTTTGAGGGTACTCTATTGACTTTTTTTCTTTTATTTTTAAATGCAATTTTGTAAAAAAAAAAAAATACCCTAAGAGGAAACAAGCAAGCTTTCTCTCTGTATATGAAAAAAGAAACCGGCAGCACACCTGCTCTCTGCAGCCTTTGCACGCCTTCACCTCTTTTCCCAGCACAGACATTCATTGAAAAGCCTCTATGCTGCAATTGCACATGGGTTCACGGCTCTCTCAATTAATTGTGAAACAACGCATTTAAAAAGGGGAAGGCAGCCTGCCTGTCACTTCCTTTTAGTTCTGTGCAGTCTGACTGTCTGAGTGCCAGGGAGGTGTGTCTGCCCATAATTTTAAAAGTGCCAGTTTCTATTGAAATAAACAATTGGCAAGTTTATAAACGGTCACCGATATGACCGATTCCAGACACACGAAGCACTTCAGCAAGCTGATGGTCCTTTAACCAAACCTGTCTTTATTTTAGCAATAAAACGATACTTCTTCTTTCCATGTTTTTTTTTTATTTTTCTTCCATCTACGTGGTCCCTTTTACTAAGTTGTCATATATAATCAGCTAGAGATGGGGAATAAATCCACGAAGCTCAGGGCAGACCCAAGCTTCTGGTTCCAGGATATATGGACTTTTATGTGGCAGGTTCCAAGGAAGATAACACTATTCATGCCAAGATTTGTTCCGTCCAATTATTCACCAATTTGAGGGGACTTGAGGACTTAAGTTTTTTTCATTTTAATTTCCTTATTATTTTCTTCTAGCTTATCCTACTCTGTCTCTTTATATTGCATACTGTTTAGTTCCCTCCATTCCTACTTTAATACACATGCAGCTCAGCTTCCACTTCGCACGTTACTCTAGCCGATTATCCACTCCATTTTATTGTTTCATATTGTTAGCACTAGAAGCAGCCGTTACATAGAAGAAAAGATAAATAACACAAATATAAAGACTCCAACTATTATTTGTACACTCAATCCGTTGATTATAACATATCTTTTAGCATGTTCTGTTGTCCTATTTTATATATTTTTTTCATATTAATGACATGCTGTGATACTCGTGGATTGAGGATAAAGAAAACTTACCAAAAAAGTTGTTATAAAGGAATTATTTAACCAAATGCAAACTTTTTCAAGTGAAATACAGGCAGGGCCATCCTTGGGTCACAGATGCCTGGGTGCAGAATTTATTTTAGTGTCCCCCAGGTGGGCTTGGTCATTTTAGTGACCCCTCCCTTTGTGAATGTCAAGTCCAGACATGGATGTTTCTATGGCAATGACTACACCTCTCGATCTATAATCACCACCCCTTTTTCTAACTAGACACGCACTCACTGGCAGTCACACACCCTCACTGAGAAACACTCACAGACTCACTGATTTCACACACCCTGACAGACACACTCACTGACAGGAACATTCACACATTTACACATTTTTGCACTCACACACAAATTATTATTTTTTCTTGTGGTTCTATTTGTTTAGGCCCATCAGGCCGCTACTTGCCTTTAGGAGTCTTTTGGGTTCTCTCCCTGATGCTCTTCCAGCTCCTTACTGTTTCCTTGCGCACTCAGCATCACCAGAGCGGGCGCACAAGTTAGCAGTGAGGAGCAGGAGGAGCATCAATGCTCCCTCGCCACCACTGCTGACTGGCTCCTTCTCCCCTGGGCACACTTTATTTCCGCAGAGTATGCACCTGCTGTACTGGTAAGTAGGTGACTACTCTGCCTTGGTTAATGAGCGCCAGCATCAGAGGTGGCCTCCTGTCACAGCAATCGGCCCGCTCCTAGCAGCGCCCCCCCACCCTCTGGTGCCTGGAAGCGGTGCACCATGTACTCCCGCCCAAGAACGGCCCTGAATACAGGGCATAATCAGAATTAACATAGCTTTCTGGCTTTATTTATTTTTACACACTTTACCATGTGTAACCTTAGCATTGAGTTACACATCAGAGCAAGACATTATAATATAATCGAAAATAATAATGTAAAATAATCCATACTAGGGTGCAACATTAGCTTTAATTAATTAAATTTATATTCTAATTGTTCTGAAAACTCTGAAAAATTCCTAACTTGCAAACCTCTCTAGGATACAAATTTTTATAAATGGAAACAAATTTAATAGAATATGCTGGGGTTTTCCAAAGCATATATTATCCCTTGATAATTGCATTAAGGAGTTTTAGAGCAGGAGGCAATATATCATAACAAAGGCCATCATTTAAAACAGCCATTGGTTTTTAATGAACACATGGATTTAATCTGTGCTTAATCAGAGTTTGCTGTGAGATGATTTTACGTGTCTCTTGTGTAATTGCATCTTTATAAAGGTAACAAAACTGAGCATTCAGTTGGAGGAGGCACAAGGAGATCTTCAGCAGAAAGAAAGTGAATTCTCCGATTTCCGAGAACTAAGCTCTTCACGGGTGGGTTTTAAGTTTTGATGATGAGAACCAGTTTTTAAAGATATGATTGCTCTGGTAGGCCTTGGTAGATCACTACTAGACACAGCACTGTTGGTGTGAATACTAACAATCCCAAAGGGACGCTATAGTTGTCAAAACAACTTTAGCTTAACGAAGCCGTTTTTGTGTTAAGTTCATTACTACAGTCTCACTGCTCAATTCTGTGCCATTTAGGAGTTAAATTACTTTCAGGGCCGGCCCGGCCCACCGTGAAATTTCCCGGTGGGCCGTGGCACCTGAGGGCTGCACAACTCTAACTATAGAGAGGGAGTCCTGCGGTAATTTTTTATAATATTGCGGTCGCTGGTCCAGTGGCACACCTTGAGGGGGTTACCTTGTGGCCAGCTGCCCCATCTCATGTGGTGTATGACTGCTGTCCGTATCAGTGAGTGTGCCGGGCGGCTGCCTAACCGGTCCGGCGGCACACTCACTGATACTGACAGCAGTACAGCTGTCAGCACAGGAGGACTGAGGGAGGGGACAGAGCTAACTACCATGCTACCTTGCGGTTCCCACAATTCCCAGCACAGCCACGTCATAGAGTAGTGATTACTCTATGATGTGTCCATGCGTGGAATTATGGGAACTGTGTGTCCGTTAAGCTAAAGTAGTGTTAGTGACTTTAGTGTCCGTTAACATAGTGCTGTGATCTGCCAGATATTAATCAGTATGTGAAGCAGAAAATGTTATGTTAAAGCATATCAGTACTCTAATTTAAAAAAAAAAAAAGTATAACTTCAGTGTGACCAATAGAGCATGAAAATATGTGTAAATAGTTTTGTTCTTGTTCTGCAAGTTTTAAGATTTAGTGCTGTTACGTGAATCATGTGATTGGAAAATATTTGCCATCCTTGTTTAAAAAGTCCTAAAAATATTTTTAAAGCCAATCCCAGAACACTAATGGTGCGTGTTGGAGATCATTATCGCAGTACAAGAAACTGGTAATGTAAGGATAAATCTGTAAATGGTAGTATCTTGAAACACAATTGTCCCTTTTAAACATTATTTTCCTTATTATTTGTCAGAGCTCTACTTTTTGCTATCTAGACATATTGACTCAGAATACCACATGGTCTCAAAGTGCATTACACTGTATCGATTTTAGATTCCGGCAGTACCATAGTTTTAGTAATTAAAATCTGGATCCTTTGAAATAGATGGTTGGTAACCAGAAGGTTTTGGCCCACTGCCCAGAATAGAAAGTACAATTATGGTTTGATTAGAAGGATGGTTACATGCCTTGGACACACACTAAATGCAGATCTAATGACTGTGATCCTGTATTATGTGCTGCGTGGACCACAAATGAACTCTTGTCTTCTTCAGGGCAAATTGTAGATTGCTTAATAACATCTATTAATTAAGTAGATGGTTACCACAGTGATATCAATACAATAAGAAATTATAACACATTTTGTGAAATTAATTTAAATGTCCAACCTTTCAAAAGCATTTATTATGCACTAGTTTTTAATAAACAAAAATCCTTTATATATGGTTTACAAGATATATTTAAAAAAAAAAGTTTTTTTTATAGGTAAACCGCAATAGCAATTGTACTTGGGTAACAGATTACATATAAGGTCTTTTGTTTCCGTCTAGCTCAAAGATTTGGAGCAAACATTACAATCTGTCCGTGAGAATCTGCACCGACGAGAGGAGGAGTTAAATGACAGAGAAGCACAAATTAAATCTCTGGTGAGAATTGTATATACTTTTACAGTTGGTAACACATCACATCCTTAGAGAGATGGACGCTGCTGCACTGAAACATAAGCACATGATAAAAAGCATGAATTGATTTTGTCAACTCACTTGCATATATGCATGCTTAGATGATTACACCAGCAGTAAATATGTGCACATATCAGTAGTAGCTAAACCCTCGGTTGTAGTAAAATTGTTTCCTCTGTGATACTTTTCTGAAATAGACTTCCTATTGAAATCTTGAAAATCGAGTCACATAACAAAGCTTGACCTGAGTATATGGTGCTGGTGATAATTAATGCTGGTGCTGGTGATAGTTAATGCTTGTCTTTCTCTGATGGAATATATTGCAGCAAGCTGAAATGGAGGCAGAAAATAACAGGCTGACGCAGCAGCTGCACAATGTAAGACAGCAGTTTGCTGAAAAAGTGGAACGGTTTGAGGCCCAAATTCTTGCTCTGGAAGGTGCTCGAGACTTTGATAAAACAGCAGCACAGCACAAAATAGTAAGTTATGCTCGCAGGAGGCTCCGACTACACACAGGCCAAAGCTCCATTACCTAATCCAAACAGACTGTGAAATATTATTATTTATAAAGTGCCAACAGATTCTGCAGCACTGTGCAATATCCAATGCAAGTATCTATCTTTTAGCGGTTAAAAGATCACCCTCTGTTTTAATGCAATATAAATATGATTAATTAAAAGTGCAAAAATAAATGAAGACAAAAAAATTTACCTCAAAGTTTCACTTGATGCTCTGTTCTCCCCATCTCAGTAGAGCAAGTCTTATACCATAAATTGTTGCACAGAAGAGGTTTATGGGATTCACATCTCTGATGGGAAGAGAGAGAGAGCTCCACACGAGTTGTACATGCCTCATGCACAATACATGTGCTAAACATGGACAAAATTCACACAGACAACCCAGAACATTCCTTCCAGACTGCTTGATCAACGGCTCTTAGGGACAGGTTTAGAGCTGCAATGATCACTGCAGCCCTTAGATCTGACAGTAGGATCAAGTTAAAATATATAAACTTGTGGTGGTGTTTTAGAGTGACCTTTTAACCCCTCCATGACCACATTCATAACCTCTTACAGGGTTACACCAACCTTTATAAATAATGCCCTGTTGGGCATTATTTTTAGGTTCTCCCTCCTGATCGCTACAAAACTACTTTTAAAAAAATGTTTTACTTGCCATAATCCAGTTCTGGGCAAAGTTCCTTTGAGTCGACAAAAAGTCAGGGGGGAGTTTAACAACATGCAAATGGATCTGAATATGCCAGTCGCCAGCGCGCAGTGTGCACTGACGCTACACGTCAAATATGCACAGAATTGACATTAGGTGGCCCGTATCAAAGTCAAGGAAGGAATCTGGCTGTGCAGCGGTTTAGCTTGCTCACACTGGTCAAGAAGAGTTATTTGCACTTTTTTGTGCCGAACACTACTTGAGCAATGTGAGCAAGCTGAAACACTGCACAGCCAGATTCCTTCCTCCATTATCACTTCAAAAACAGAAGTGGTTATGGATATTGGAATAACTCTTTTAACTTTCAGTCTGATCCTTCTCTAGTATGGAATGTTCCGAGGTTGGATGTATTTTTCATATATGGCTCTTTGAGTTAACATTTTCACTTTGTCAGTTCTCTACGAGTCCCAGTTTAGTAAGCAAACCCTACAATGTTAACATTACCTGTTCAAAATAAACCAGCTGACTGCCACGCATACTTTACAAAGCAGCACTGTATTTACTATGTTGGATGTAAACATGATAGTAACAAAACAGACATTACCTTAACTTTAACAGAGCCAACTGGAACAAGAAAATGAGGTTCTAACAGGAAGGAGCAAAGAGTTGGAAACTGCTCTCAATAGGCAGGAAGTTGAGCAAGCCAAAATGAAGGTAAGTGTACTATAAATAACACATAGTAATTGCATTTTTTCCATACTTGCTACAAACACAATTTCATTCTTCATGTTCATTTCTGTAATATTTTTGACTGTTTGTAACAGGTAAGTTGCTCTTTTTAGCCTCATAAAAAGCTTTTTACCCCTTAAGGACCAAACTTCTGGAATAAAAGGGAATCATGACATGTCATGTGTCCTTAAGGGGTTAACAAGGAAATAGTGCAAGGAAATAATATATTTCATGCTTATGCAAACAAGCTTCTTTTAAAATGTATTTATTTATTTAAACTATTCTGACTACCGACTGGGGAAGGCTTTTATATTCACTACTTTCATGGGACATTTGCAAAGCTCTAGTAATTCTGGATTAAAGTTCTACAAATAGTGAATCACCATCTGAATCCAAGGACTGATCCTTCCAGTTTTAGTAGCAAAAGTTTTTCATAATAATTTTACTGAAGTCCAAGCTGAAAATATTTCATATGGTGAAAATTGACAGGAACTCAAAGTTTAATATGCAAATTTAGGCCTAAATGGCCAATTTAGAAAATACATGCAGACTTGATACTGCTGGCATTTTTGTTTTACCTAGCTTGATAAATCAACTCTTCTCTGCAGGATGAACTGAGCAGCAGAGAGACTGTGTGCGTTGAGATCGCTAAAGCTCTGGAGGAAACGAGGAAGCAGAAGGAAGAACTTCAGCAACAGGTAATCATAGAGACACTGCAAACACAAACACTTTGCTCACTGTTAACCTTTAAATAGTGTTCTGAGAAAGGGACGTTTGTATGTTGTGCAACCAGTATTGTTGTCTGTACATGGGTCAAACATGAGGATAGCAGAAGTCTATGTGAAGCACAAGAGCCCACTGCCAAAGCTGTTGTATATATGGACCATAGTGAAATCAGTTTTTAATACGATATTTGTACAATAAAGTTAGTACAATTTGTACAATAAAGAACAGACGGTGAACATTTCATGAAATTGCAAGTCGTGAATATCCCATTCTGGAGTTTTGCCAAGTTATCAGTATGCTTTTTATTATTCATTAGAGATTGTTAGATTTTGACATTGAAAAAACTTTTCCAGATGGAGAGTGATTAACCTCTAACGATTAGTCATTAAATGAATGGCAAGTTGTTTTTATGAAAATATATGCATGAGTTTTGACGGAGGGCAGTTGTATGCACACATATATGAGTGCATTACACAGCACCCTGATATGACATGCAGCCACTTGTGTAGCTGATGGGAGATTTTGGTCATAAGGGGCCACCAGCACAGTACCCCACTTTGAACGGTAGTCAAGATTATATATGTGTTTAGCCCTTTAATATTTCTTCTGGGAAATCGAATGGGGAAAAAAGCGATTTCCACTAAAACAACATTTCCGTGTTGAATTAAACTTCCTTGTTTTCCCATTTGTAATAGTAGTCTGGAAGGTCAGAACCACAGAGTATGCTAAACAGTTAAAGGATTTCCTTATCTCACGAATGGATTTTTACAGTAATGTAAAGGCTTTGACACATTCATTTCTTTACAGGTGGCCAGTCTGAATGCTGTGATTGAAGATAACACACGCATCCTCGCTGAGACGAAGGAAGAACTTGAGCAAAAAGACAAAGAGATAGCGGCCCTGAGAGGAGGTGCGCTTTGTTCAGTTATCTGTATTGCATTTGGCATGTAGTGTCTGCTAGCGGGACTAAATGCAATCCACACTATATGTGAAAATGACACTGCCTCATCACATCTAAGGACAGAACTCTAGCGGCTTCTTTCTCATGAGAAGAGCCAGTTGGAGAGTTTAACCGAAAATTTACCAATCTCTATTTTTTATCACAGTGAACGCAGACACATTAATCAACTTTTAAATATTGGGCAAAGGCCATGGTGTTTTTATTTTCTTAAAAAGAGTATAACAAAATTAGAATCAAAACTGTAATCTGAAACCTTCATATAGTCTATATAGCTCTGACCGCCCCAATACATTTAGATAAACTCCAATACTGCATAACTTACTAACCACGGTTTTGCCTCTGTTTAGAATACAAATACCACGACTGTAGGGAAACCCACATACAAGAAAATAATAAAGGGGGAGAGGTTGGGGATCCAGGTAGCTCAGTCTTCTCCACAGTTTCCAACACTTTCTTGAGGTGAGCCCTAAAATATGAAGCCACTTTCCTGCCGTTATCCTTACGCCTAGTGCCAATCCAGAGCTAGGTCCCTATTCTCCAATCGGCTCTCAAGAAAACTTAATTCTGCCAATGTACCTGAGAATCTGCCTATCTACTACTAATCTACCTTACAACAACTCAAAGCTGACGGAACCTCCAACATCAACCCTTTCCTTGCCATCATGCATATCCTTTCACTGGTCATTCAGCCTGTGGCAGTTCATTACATTCTGGCACCTCTGATTTCCATCTTTCCTCACAGTATGTTTAAAGAATCACTGTAGGGTCAGGAACACAAACATGTATTCCTGACCCTATATTGCTAAACCCACCATTTAGGTGGCTTGCCCCCCTATAAAAGTTTAAAAGTCACCTTATTTCCAGTGCCGCGTGGGTCTGCCGGCACTGTATCCGCCCCCTTTGTGACATCATCAAAATGGCAGATTTTTAACCAATCCAATGCTTTCCCATTGTGAAAGCATTGGATTGGCTAAAACCAGCACTGGGGCGGGGCCAAATGCCATTTTGGCCAATCAGGACCTCCTTATAGAGATGCATCGAGTCAATGCATCTCTGTGAGGAAAATTCAGCGTCTCCATGCAGAGCGTGGGGACACTGAACGGCAGGGCTGCTTACTGTGCAGCCCTGAGCCCGGAAGTCCCTGGAGTGGCTACTTGGAGGTGTCCCTAGAGGCAATGTAAACACTGCCTTTTCTTTGAAAAGGCAGTGTTTACATGTAAATGCCAGAAGGGAGCTATTATACTCATCAGAACTACTACATTAAGCTGTAGTTGTTCTGGTGACTATAGTGTCCCTTTAATATGCTGACTTTCTTGGCAAATTTACCTCAAAACTGTCATATTTATTTATTAATTTCTCTCTCTTTTTTAGATTATGACAACATGGTTTCAAAAATGCAACAATTACAATCTGATTTGGAAAATTACAAAAGCAGAGTCTTATTAAGTGAGGAATCTGCTGAGAAGCAATCTAGTACTGCAAGGATACAGCTGCAGGAGCTGAAAGAGGCTCTACTGGCTAGTGAATCACAGGTAGGGGGTCTGCCTTAGGCATTGCTGTACGATGTAGTGAAGTAGCTTGTTAAAGATATCTGTGAATTGTAGCAAATGTAGCTAACAAGCAAGTATGACTAGCCAGCAATAATTCTGTTTTTTCTGTTATTCTCTTGCAGATAGACATATATAGTAAGAATAATCCAGTCTGAAATTGGATTCAGCACCTTTTTCGTTGTAGTTGTTCTTATTGTTGTTTACGATGTAATAGATAGTGCCTACTTGTACCCAGATCCAAACACAACAAAAACCTGTTTTATAGTCAAAGCAGCCCAGTAGGAGAGGGCAGAGCCAGGGAAAAAGAGCATTGTGTGGTAGGCAGCTTATTGCTTTTCCAGGAAAAGGTTGCTTGTGATGTAGAATGTGTATGGACTGGATTGTTTGTGATTAAGTGTGTGCACATCAAGGGAAAAGTATAATAATAATTTTTAAAAATTAAAAAGTATTCATTTCCCGATTCTTGCTTTTATTTGGCCAGAGAGAGGGAGAAATGCTGATTCCTACTAGTCTGGTGGGCCAAACATGTGGTCTGCACGTGTAGCTAGTATTGCCCCTTCTGGTCTGGCACTGCGTAACGTATCAGACAGTGTCTGTGGTAATAATTCCCATTGTGACCTGCTAGTTATTTACCTAATAGCCATTCCAGGCCTGTTTGTGAGATATCAGAAGGGATAACAACTGCAGATTTTGTCATATTGTTAAACGTTGCTGCAAATTTATAATTTTATCCTCTGGTGAGCCAAAAAACATTAAATTGTCCATGAGAGCCAAGTTTGAATATGTTTCTATAGCTAACATTCAAACTCCTTTAGCCTAAATTATCAATCTCATCACAGGTGATTAGGGAAAAAAAGTCTAACAATTTATTGTTTTTGACCTAAATTAATATTATGTAGCAAAATAGTAAGGGACACTGCAGGTTTAATCTCTTTTTTTTTTTTTTTTTTTTATATAATGTGGCATGGGTTCTCACTGAGCATTTTTGGCTACAGCGACCATAACTGTATGCCAGACAGAGACTGGAAGAGAACTATGACATTTGTAGCCCAACATCATCTGTGGGGAAGTACTAAACACAAAAGCAAATGTAAAAAATATATCCTTCTGTTCAACCAGCCAAAACACACACAAAAAGCATTCTAAGAAACATATTCTAAAAACAATTCCTACTAATTTTCCTTACTTAATGCAAATACTAAGGATTTTCAGTTTCTCCAGACACTGGGAAGTCCCAGAAATCTGTCGGCCAATCCTAATTCTTGAATTGTTTTCATGTGAGCTTTTTTTTCCCCCAACAATCAAATAGCAATATTCAGTTTATGTCTTTGCACTCTTAGGTGTCTTCACTCCAAGAAGAGGTGTCAACCCAGCATGATCTTCTTCATGGTAGAGATAACCTAGAACATAATGGAGAGATCATGGTGGGGGATATTGCTCAACTACAAAAGGAGAAACGTGTAATGGAGCAGCAGATCTCAGAGAAGAATAAGGTACTCACCCCCAATATGTTGTTTTCCTTTACCAGTGGTTACAAACCTACTTTTCAGGTTCAGCCAACGGTATTTAGTGTATTCTCATGTCTCCTCTTAAGAGATTTTGACAAAAACTCTTCTGCTAGAGTTGTTTGAGGATTAGGAACAATTGTCAAGGTCTTGACTCATTACAATTGGCATATAAAAGATAGTGCCGCACCCGTAGCCAGACAGCAGGAACTGAAAACGATGATCACATAGCAAGCAACATAGCAATGTTGTATGTATTCCCAGTACCTGTTATGCTTCATTGGGTCATTGACCATTGTATACATTAATGGCTTATGTTTTCTGTATATGATCTAAGTTCTAATGCATTCGTGAAGGTCTCTAACTGGCTTGTGTGTAAGTATATAAATAAAGAATTTAAAGGGAAACTATAGTCACCTAAACAACTTTAGCTTAATGAAACAGTTTGGTTGTATAGATCATCTTATTATCTGTCATTTAGGAGTTAAATCACTTTGTTTATGAACCCTAGTCACACCTCCCTGCATGTGACTTGCACAGCCTTCATAAATACTTCCTGTAAATAGTCATCTAATGTTTATCCTTCCTTTATTGCAAGTTCTGTTTAATTAAGATTTTCTTATCCCCTGCTATGTTAGAAGCTTGCTAGACCCTGCAAGAGCCTCTTGAATGTGATTAAAGTTCAATTTACAGAGAAAGAGATACAATGGTTTAAGATAAATTACATCTGATTGAAAGTGAAACCATTTTTTTTTTTTTTGGAGGCTGTGTCAATCATAGCCAGGGGAGGTGTGACTAGGGCGGCATAAACAGAATCAAAGTAATTTAACTCCTAAATGCCAGTAAATTGAGCAGTGAAACCTGAGAGGCATGATCTATACTCTAAAATTGCTTCATTAAGCTAAAGTTTAGGTGACTATAGTGTCCCTTTAAAAAAGATGCTGTACTCCACTTCTTCCAAGCATGGTTACCTAAGGGATTGCTTTCTATGTATCTATGTATTATCTAGGGCCCTCATAGAGCTTCACTAGCCTATAAAAGCTGATGATATGCTTTACTAAGAATGGGAATGGGTCTACAAATAATGAAAAGCACATAGAGGTGTCACCCATGCTTGGACGAAGAGTACAACACACAGTGGTTAATTTGAAAAGTATTAAAATCTATCTGGTGTGCTTTAAGCCTTAAATAACTTGAAAACAGTAAAACGGAAACGTTTCAGATTTGCTTTCAATGTAACCATATGTATGGGTTTTAAAGCATCTGCAAAATGCTGTTAGAAGAGAATAGGTGTTGCAAATGACAATGCTTTCACTTTCATTCCTTATTCATTTCATTCCATTTAAATGCAACATTATTTAGATTGATATCACTGACAAACTGAATGGTTTCTCCTCTTGCAGACTATAAAGCAGCTTCAACAAAGGATGGCAGAGCTAAAAAAGACATTACAAAAGGAATTGGTGAGTGTTTATTTGTGACTGGCATTTATAAAGCGCCCAAATATCCGCAGTGCTGTACAATTAGAGTAGAACATACATTATGCACAGACCAATACAAAAGTTAAAGAAGGCCTTGCCTGTGAGCGAAGATCTACCGTATATACTCATGTATAAGTCGATCTCATGTATAAGTCGATCTCATGTATAAGTCGAGTGCAGTTTTGTGACCAACAATTATGAAATATGCTAAGCCTCGTGGATAAGTCGAGGGTAAAACTTGGGACTATGAAATTCTGTGATTTTTATAATTATACACACACACACTGCATTATATACACACACTCATACAAGCGCACACTCATACAAACAATCTGCATTATACACACACACTCATACACACACTCTGCATTATATACGCACACACTCTGTGTGTATATAATGCAGAGTGTGTGTGTTTATGTGAATGCAGAGTGTGTCTGAATGAGTGTGTGTGTATAATGCAGATTGTTTGTATGAGTGTGTGTATATAATGCAGAAAGTGTGTGTAGTGTGTAGTGTGTGTGAACTGGGTGGGGGGAGGGCATTTTTATTTTATTTTTTTATTTTAATATTTTAATTTTTTTAATTTTATTATTATTTTTTTATTTTATTATTTATTTTTTTATTGTAATATTTTATTTTATTATTTAATTTTATTTTCGTCCCCCCTCCCTGCTTGTTAGCTGGCCAGGGAGGGGGGCTTTCATTCCCTGGTGGTCCAGTGGATGGGCTGTGTAGGAGGGGGGCTGGCATCGAGCTGTAACTTACCTTTCCTGCAGCTCCTGTCAGCTGCCTTCTCCTCCGGTCCGGTCAGATCCCTTCTCCCCTGTAAGTCTCGCGGTGTGACAGCCGCGCGGAGCGTTGCCACGGTAACCCGTGGCAACGCTCTGACCCCACGGCTCTCGCGAGACTTACAGGGGAGCTGACCAGACCGGAGGAGAAGGGAGCTGACAGGAGCTGCAGGAAAGGTAAGTTACAGCTCGATGCCAGCCCCCAATAGGACCGCCGGGCTTGTAATGAGCAATGTAAGTTGCCATAATACAGACATTGACTCGAGTATAAGTCGAGTGGGGGGTTTTCAGCACAAAAAAATGTGCTGAAAAACTCGACTTATACTCGAGTATATACAGTAATTAATCAAAGCTATTTTATACAAAGTTCTTAGACGGCCTGTGAGCTTGCAATTTAAAGGATATGATAGGGATTAGCAGGGGTAAGTGATGGCCTGAGGAATGTAACCGAGAGTACATTTGTAAATGACCCTTTGTGCATTTAGAGATTGTTTTCTGCACACCACTAATCTAAAGAGTGAATATTTAAATATTCGGAGAGGAGTCTGAGATGAGTGGAGTCTGGCCATTATCCTTCTAGGTTATTCTATGTGTATTTCCCTACATTCCAACCTCTCACTCCAAATTTTTGTTTGTTTTTTATCTCTGTAAACAATGTATCTGTATTATTTACAGTTTTACACACGGTCAGTGTAACCTCTTGTGCATTGCTCGTGGTGCTGCTGGAATCAGTGGTGTATCCTGGTTTTGTGCTGCCCTACGCAGGACAAAACTCAGGCGCTCCCCTCCCCCCGCGCCACCCCCACCCAATCCTTCCCCCCGCCCCACCTTCTAAATACACACACACACACACACACACACAATCAGACACACACAAACACACAGACAAACACACACGCAGTCAGACACAAACACACCCACGCAGTCAGACACAAACACACCCACGCAGTCAGACACAAACACACCCACGCAGTCAGACACATACACACCCACGCAGTCAGACACATACACACAGTCAGACACATCCACAGACACAAACACAGTCAGACACATCCACAGTCACACACACAGTCACAAACACACAAACACAGTCAGACACAAACACACACACACACACACACACACACACACACACACACACAGTCAGACACAAACAGAGTGAGGTTGGGAGCCGGGTTGATGACGTCATATTCCGGCTCCCAGCCTCACTCTGCGGTGCGCGAGGGAGCTGAGCAGACGGCTCAGGGGAAGTGCTCCCTCGCCAGCCGCCCCCCCAAAGCCGCCAGCCTGATCGGCATGTCTGTTAGCCGCGAGGCTAACTAGGCATTTGCCCTGGGCATTTGGGGGCAGCGTTTTTTGCCGCCCCCTGAAAAATGCCGCCCAAGGCAAATGCCTTGTTTGCCTCGCGGCTAATACGTCACTGGCTGGAATGCAGAGCAAGACATGGTTTCCTCCTCTGCATTTCCATTTTTCCAAAGTATGAGGAAGGTTCAGGCGATCCATTCTAATTCTACAAATGTTTTACTTTCCCTGGGGCCATGTGATGTCACCCCTGCGAGGGACAAGAGAGACTTTTTTTTTTTTTTTCTTGTGGCACAGCTCTAACAGAGCCCCTTTCCCTAACCTTTGATTAATCTGTTACCAATGGTGATTATCTACCTCGCAGTCCCTCAGGACAGTATTTTATTTTTTGTGTGTTGAATATCTACTTAAATGCATTTTTATTATTTAAAATGTTGAAATTAAATTACTCCTGTTTTGCTTCTTTGAACAGTGGTATTGTTTTAGAATACAGATTATGATTCTGCAAAGTAGATGTTGTACTATTTCATACCTTCTAACATCTATCATTAAAAACTAAAGACAGGAGAGGGCAATTAAAGGGGATGTGCCATTGACACACCACATCAAAGGACATACCGTCACATGCTTGCATGTAGGAGACACGCATGGTGACAGGCAGCTTATTATGACAGGCAGGCAATTGTGACAGGCAGTTGTCCTGCACTTCAAGTTTGGGATATTTCCTCTGTTATCTCTGAGATCTGTGATTCTTGAGAGGTTGTGCTGTCTGATTATAAAATATATTTATACAGCATATTACATGAAGTGTTATTGTAAAAAGAAATATAGATTAACTTATTGGCTGCTAGAAAAGCAAGATGGCTGCTTCCACTGTTTGTTGACAAATTTGTAACTACAAATAAAAATTAAATAGGTGCCAAACAAATGTTATAGAACCAATATATAGCTTCGTTGCAGTATCTCGGAGACAAAGGTTTTTATTCCAACTATGTTTATGCTTAACCTCCCACTGTGAGCCAGTGTCGTTTTTTTTTTTTCCTTTCTAAAATTACATGGTGAACCCCTTGTTATCACAAGGTCATTAACCCCTTAAGGACCAAACTTCTGGAATTAAAGGGAATCATGACATGTCACACGTCATGTGTCCTTAAGGGGTAAAAGAAAATTTTCAGAAGGCTACTGTATTTTTCTAAACTCCTACACACTTATTATTCCTTAATAGTGAAGCCCACCCCATGTATTCCCTATGTTTATACAATCCTAGTCACACCTCCCTGCATGTGACTTGCAAAGCCTTCCGAAACACTTTCTGAAAAGGAACCTGGATATTTTAGGTTCATTTATTGCACAGTCTGTTTAATTTAGAATTTCTTATCGCTTGCTTTGTTGATAGCATTTTAGAGCCTACAGGAGCCTCCTGTGTGTGATCAAAATTCAATTTACAATCAGGAAATAAAAACTGCTAAAGTAAGTTACATCTGATTGAAACTGAAAAATGTTTTTGCATTTCATGCAGACTGTGCCAGTCACAAGAAATGGGAGGTGGGTCTAGGACTGCATGAACAGTCCTATATACAGAACTGCTTCATTAAGCTAAAGTTTGGATTTTGATGCTTACTGGTGACAATAGTGTCCTTTGAAATTGTGACGCTAGTATGGCTGTTCTTTCCCTTAGCCGTTTATATGACACTAAACATACTAGGAACTCCTTTAGGTTAAGGTGCAATTTATTGTATAAATGTGGTCGCATTTGCAAATGTTACAAATATGTCGTTAAAGAGAATAGCTTTACTTTACATGTGATTACTAAGAGCTAAACAACTCACAGCCTTATTATCTTATTATTAAAAGAAATGTTACCTATCTTTTGTCCTGCCTTAAATGTAGATATAAATATGTGGGGGAGACTTAATGGCAATTAAAAACCCTTTTTAGAGCACACTTGTTGGATATAGAGAATTTAAATCTTAAGTCGCCAATATTTTCACAAATGTGATGAAGATGATACTAATAAATTCAGGTTCTGGAGCATAGGAAGATGTACAGTTCCTATTCAGGGTGGTGATCACAAAAAGCATAGAAAATGCAAAGTATTTTGGATATTTGAATTCTGTACAAGGTGGCCCCAGGGTTTCAATGCTATCATTACTATCATTAGGCATTGAATAAGCCACCCATTTATTGAATGTTTCCTGCTTGATTATACTTCCTGTTTAAGCTTTTTTTGTAATTATTTTTTGATCACAGGTTTAATTCACTTGGTTCTAACCCAGACATCCCAGCTTGCAAAAATGCATTTTAGGGAGGTGGCTTCACCAGCTACCGTGTGCACCCTCCCCTTAGACAGACACACACAGCCCGCAAACATGTATGAACACCTTGACACACAGATACACGCACTGACACACAGATACATAAACTGAGATACGCACACTGATGCATACACTCAGTCATGCACACTGATGCACTGACTCATATACTCAGATGCATGCACACACACACACTGACACAAACATACATATACAAACACACAGAAAAACACACCGACATACCGATACACACACTGGCATGAACACTCAGATACACTCTTGTTAGCTTACTTTTGTCTTCTGGAGGGTGGCTTGCTTGAGGCTCTGGTCCTGGCTGAGGCTGATAGGAGTGAGCATGCAGTGACAGCTCACTCCAGCCTCTCTTCTCCCTCCAGTCCTCCTGTGCGGCTGATAGTCGGCTCCTAAAGGGCCGGCACCCCACTGACCCCTGCTTAGTATGAGGGAAGTGGGACAAAAATCCTGTATAATATCCTGGTGATCAATACACACAATCTAATATAAATTGTATGTCAGATTGTGTGTGATTTCCTGGATATTATACATGTTCTGTGGGTGTCTGGGAGCCGCATGCAAAATGCTGGAGTGGGAGACTTGGGATGTCTGGTTACTAATCCGTTTGCAATCTCTTGTCTGTTTGCTACCTCTTGTGCTGTATTGAGTTTCTGGCTTTACATATTGATTGTTACATTGTGTATTTTGATGGGAGTTGGTTGTTACACCATTAGAGTGTCCTCCTCTCTTCTTTTTGTTGGGTTGGTCTGGAATGATCAGCCGATCTAATTTTTATTTCTGAGACATTGCTTTAATCAGGAGTTTTTTCCTGTTTATGAAATTTATCTTTTTTTCCTTTTCTGTTATATTCCAGTTACGAGTATTTTGTAAGTCTTCTGTTATTCATTTAGGTAATGTTTTCATAATCCATGTGGGGAAATCAATCTGCTTTCCGATTGTCTCTATTTGATTAGCAGACCCAACTTAAGCTGTGTCTGATTGTTAAAGTATTTTTTTTTGCATTGGAGGTGTGATGTGTGTAAATAATGTTTTGTTAGAACCTGTGCCGTATGTAGGAAAGATGTCTCCGAGGAAGTGCCTTGTCAGCACAAAACATATATTCTTCCTGGTTAAATAATTTGCTATTGTTTTTCAAGGTTAATGCACAGGGCTTTCCACACCACCTGTATGAAGTGGCTTTTCTGTATCTCTTTGTAACATTCTATTCTCTGTTTACAGAAAATAAAACCAGAACCTGAAATTAACGAAATGCGAGAGAAACTGAGTCCTGAGTTGGCCACCCCTGCGCTGACTGTGACCAATAACTCTGACCTGAATGACTCGCGGGAGATCAATTTTGAGTATCTGAAACATGTTGTTTTGAAGTTTATGTCTGCACGGGAAGCAGAGGTGAGAGGCATTAAGTGACTTGGCTCCTATCGCAGAATGTACTAGTAGATGAGACAGAGATTAAGGCGATATGCATCTACACTCTGTTTCTCGATCTTAAAATGTCTCTGTGTAGTTTAATCTATTCAGTTTAATTTGTCATCTATTTGTGTCTTTTTACAGGCAAATAATAAAGGTGCTATCAGAGGCGTAACTAGAAATCACTGAGTCCCAGAACAAAAATTGCCCTTGGTCCCCCCCATGTGTCTCAACCCCTGTTGCTCTATTCTGCTACATTACTTGCTTCCTTAGACTGAATACCCAAGAAAAACTGCCTTCTGAACAGCAAAGTTAAAGGGACACTATAGTCACCAGAACAACTACAGCTTATTGTGTTTGTTCTGGTGAATATAATCATTCCCTTCAGGCTATTTGCAGTAAACACTATTTTTTCAGGGAAAATGCAGTGTTTACATTACAGCCTAGGAATTATTCCACTGGTCATTCCTCAGATGGCTGCTAGAAGTGCTTCCTGGGGCAGTGCTGCACACTGTGCAGTAGTGCCATTCAGTCTCTCCATCCTCTGCATGGAGACACTGAACTTTTGTCATAGAGATGCATTGATTCCATTAATCCCTCTATGAGGTGATGCTGATTGGCCAGGGCAATGTTTGGCTTGCGCTGGCTCTGCCCCTGATATGCCTCCTTGGAAAAGCATTGCGATCGGCTGAGAGAATCATTTCTGATGATGTCAGCCAAGCACTCAGATCAGACGCAGAGCCAGCAGGAGCAGACTGGAATCAAAGTAAGATTTAATTAAATAGGGGAAAGTGGAGTCACAGGGGTTAGATGGTGGTTTTAACCCTATAGGGTTGGGAATACATATTTGTATAGTGTTCCTTTAATTTTAGTAGTTTCAAACTTGCCCTAGCTGACATATGTTTTGTTCCAGGCCTTTCATCTCATCAAAGCTGTATCTGTATTGCTAAACTTCTCTGTAGAAGAAGAAAACCTGGTTAAGGAGACCTTAGAATACAAGGTGAGATTTGCAGGCTCCATACCTTACCAATAACACAATTTTCTATTAGTATCAACCTACAACATGTCTTGGAATTTATTATATTGGCCAGTACCTTAAAAATACAACATAATTTTATACAAACAAATATTACCCATTATTTTGGTTATAGATGTTTATATTTGTTATTATTATAGATGTCTTGGTTTGGGTCAAAGCCAGCTCCAAAAGGTTCCATTCGTCCTTCGATCTCCAAACCCAGAACACCTTGGTCTTAATGAAAGGAAATGTGAAGACTAACTCCCTTCTTCCTGATTGGTCTCACTTTGTATGTAAGGAACACTAAATGCGGGGAGGTCTTAGTGATGACTACTGTCCCTGCAGTGTATTTTTAATAAGGCTTTACAAGCTTGTTTATGATCCGGGTATCTCGGGAGTTACTTTTTTGTTTTGGGGTGGAATAGCAAATGTTTATTTTATTAAGGTGAATGCTCAAAAGTCTACGCTTAGTTGTTCACAGATGCATAACCATCAGAGGACATCTGACTGTCACATGCCTTTCTGGATATAAACCGGAGAGAGGAACAAATCTGAAAACTGCACATCTGTCTGTCAAATGTTCTGGATACATCTGATGCCAACACGAGTTATGTACCAATGAGGGCAACATCATTTTAAATAAAGCTGCTATGGTTGGCTTTTATTTGACCATGAAGAGCTATGGGGGTGTCCAGAATTCGCCATCCAGCTGTGAACAGTTTTCATAATAGTCTTGCGGAAATTCTGACAAAGTAGTCCAACAACTACAGGGGGAACAAACACTCCAGTTTTATGAAGTTAACAGAATGTTTTTGATGTTTCATGCAATTCTCCATACCCATCAGTATGTTTTAAAGGGCTAATGGTGGATCTGGGCTCAAAAATGTTGACTGCATTGCATAATTTAAGGTGTTATAAGTTAGTGTACATTTGTATATTCCTGTACTTCTTTGTAAAATTTGTCCTGCCAACCTGTCTTCATACAGAGCCGTTGGTGGATCAGTCAGGCTTTAAAACTGCAATATGTGGCAAACCACGATTTTGGTACGTGATTTGAGATACCTAGCACAGTATTTTCCTGCAAATGCTGCACTTCTAAGATACTGATCTCCCAGCTGCAAAAATAAAATAAAATTGAAATGTATTACATCTAGGAAATGGGGCACAGAGACCAACTTTGCAAACTTGAATTCTTGAGTCAATCATGTAATATTTATTATTGTATCACAACACCTCCTGTAATTACTGCATATTCTATCTATTATTTAATATGTGTATTGCTCTTTTTTTATCACTGCATCCAGAGTTTAAGATCAGGGTTTAGGTCCGGTAAAATCTGGGGCACTTTGCTCATGCCGAGTTATGTGTCCTTGATTAGACTAAATAAATATTTGTGAACATCTTTATTTCTCTAGCATATGCTTGAATCAAGTATCTGTTAACTGCAAAGTGGGTTCCGCTCCGGAACTCAAACTGAAACCTACAGAAGTTGAATTATTTTGTAGTTTTTTAGGGGACCTGCTGAGTGTAATAATAAAGATGTCCTAACTTTTAAAATTGCTAGTCCTCCTTAAAAATAGCTACTACAACGTGTACAAACTGGTACGCACTTCCAAAGGCCGCCATATAGTGTGCCATGTAGTTTTTCCTCTGCAGGGAATCTTACATGAAATGTACCCATAATAGTTTCATACAAAATAATTTCCCATTTATACTATATTTAGCTAGTGCAATAAATACACCAAATTTCCTGGAATTGATGCCTAAGTTTCTATGTAATATAAATTTATATTAGAAAACCAAAGCAGTGTAAAAGACTGCATCATACATTGTGAAGAAATCGCTACTCATTTGTAAGCAATATACGTATGTATTATGGAAAGAACATAAAAAAGCCACAAAAATTATGAAAGCTATAGCATCAGGGAATGAGGTACAGAAACTTGTAGGGTGGGACAACTCTATAGCCTGTATGGAATATTCAGTCTGAGGTATGACCGTGGAACTCTCGTGCTAAGAAAGGGGGTTTAAATTAGCAACATCTTAGCATATTCCACACATCTAATTGGATGCAGTTGGTAGGCAAGCTTGTGCAAGCTCCATGGTTAGAAAACAAGAGGCCTCGATTTCAAAATAAAATAAATGTTTCCTACTATCCAATCAGTCAATGTTGGAGGCCCACCTTCAAGAGAGTCCATGATCCCATTGTCACCACATAACGGACAGAATAATCAAGGGCCCAGTGCTGCCTTATTTTTTTTAGGATATTATTCCCCTGGTTATTATTTTGAGACGTATATTTACTGGTTTTATTGGTCAAGCCCAAGTTTTGGTGGTGAAGGGATGTTTGCACCGTAGTTGTGTACTAAGTACTTATGGTGGACCACTGAAACTAATACTTCCATTTATAAGATTAGTGTGTGTCCATACTTTATTGCCCCACGATCCCTTAAGTGACAAGTGACTTTTATTCAGCTTTATGACTTGCCTAGTAATGTTTCATACTATAAACAGTCCTTTTTATATTGCATTTGTCAGAGAACTAGTATACATTCACTTTGATCTAACTCGGATGTGCAAGTTGCTTTGTGTCACTTAATAGAGAAATCATACATTTTTTTTATTTATTTGTACTGGATTTCTTTGTCCATTATTCCCCTAAATGCTCTGTGTGGCATGGAGAGTTATTTTTTTTTACCAGCCCCTGACCACATTTTGCATGTAGAGTTCACTGTTTCCATTTATTACATTATTCACGCAACTGAATTTGGTGTACTCCTTCTTGTGTGTAACATTGTATATTTAGAAGGTGGCCACATGTAGCGAGTAGTGCACTATGTGTGCTCTGATCTGTCTTTATTTTATCATTGTTTTATTTTTTTATCTTGTGGAGTGGTGTCTTATGGAGTACCATTTATTCTTGACTTTTAAAACGGATTGGAGACTGATATTATGTTCCTATTTTATATGGGGGTTGTCACTGAATTCCTTTGTAGCCACTGAAATTCTTGCTTTTTTTTCCTTTCCAATGTCATGGTATAGATGAGCACATTATATAAGATGTAAATTAATCACTTTAATTTACGGTTTACTGCCTGTAAATTCCTCGGCTTCAAAACAAAGTTAGAAAACATTGTATGCATTTATCTGTAATGTTGTCCTGTTTTGTCATCTGTCAGGTTTCTCTGTAAAAATAAGCAAAATGCACGTCCTATATTTGAGCCACTGGTTTTCTTTTGCAAACGTGATATTAATGTTAAGTGATAAACATCCAACAAAATACATAAAATAATATTGAAAGGAACACTACAAAGCTGTATTCCTAACAATATCGTGTCCCTTTCCCCTGTTGTGCCCCCTTAAAAAGACTTAACCAATTCCAGTACCAAGTTCCCTGGGCCTTGGATTCGTCTCCTTCTCCTTCAAAGTGAATGTGGGGGAGGGGGACCTAATGCGCATGCACGGAGAGCGCTGCACTGGCATTTTTGCCTTCCCCACAGGAAAGCATTGAATCAATGCTTTCCTATGGGGTTTTGTAAGATGCTGGGCATCCTCATGTAATGCCACTAAATTGCAATTTCTCTAACGCTACAATATTTTTAACTTCTGGATTAAGGGGACATGGGCAGTGCACCCAGATCACTTCAATGAGATGAAATGGTGCTGGTTCCTATAGTGTTCCTTTAATACTGTTCCTTTTTCAGCTAATACACAAATAATGTTAAATTTTTCCTGCTGTATTCCTGCTTTCTCTACCCTGGGGCTATGTGGTGGGAGGGGAGTAATCGGATCCCATTGCAGCGTATCAATTAGTAAAGTTATGATATAAAAATGTATTGAGTTCACTCTTGAGGATGCAGAAGTCATACTTATTCGTATAAATCTCATAAACCCCCATTTGGAAACTTTGTAGCATGTGGTTGACAAGACTGTGCCTAGATTTCAGTAGTGTCTGATTTTGGAGTAATCGTTAAATATTATACCAATAAGATAGCACATGACTTTTATGGGAATAGCAGCACAGTGGCCGGTCTACTGTTATTTAAAAAAAAAAAAAAAAAATAATAATTAGCTCTGAGTTTATACAAACATCTGCAGCTCTTTATTACATTTGATGCAAGAACTGCCCAGCCTACTCTCCACCAAGCACCAATGTAAATGTGGCTTTTAGATTATCCCGGTTCAATGTCAGTAGTTTTGTAAAATGATCTCCATTATACAGATTCACTCGGTTACTAGATGTCCTTTTATTTTGGGCAACCTCTATCTTTCAGTGCAGTAGACATTGTGCAGAGTGGATCATGACAGTTCTTCTACACAATACAGAGATATTGAACTCTGCCAAGAGTGAGGTAACTGATTGCTTTTGAAGATGCATTCTCCGCTGTTTTGATTAGTGTTGCATTGCAGGTCAATCCCACAGCAAGAACGGTTATATAAGGTAAATTCTACCTCCCAAAAGACAATGTAAAAAAAAAAAAAAAATTGTACAAAGAGAAACACTCATACCCTCTACATAGAACATACCAGCTCACAAATTACTGCTTTTGGAAATTCAAAATTCTATAAAATTATATTTTTTAAAATGTGCTGTCTTCCTGTATCACAAGTTCTAGAATATAGAACAACTGGTATTAGCTGAAATAAATCAATAAATAAAACACAACAATGTTTGACTAATGATGGCTTGGGCGCAAAAAAACACCACTCCATCATTCCTGTCACTTTGCTGCTTGTCATAATGATCTCTGATGTTTATTAAAGCGAAGTCAGATTGATTACAGAACTAAAGAAGACTCTGTGGTTTCACTACGGCTCAGACAATTCTCATTTATTTTATGGATTTGCTAATACATCTCCAGCGGAGCTGGGAATGTAGGAACATTTTGTAACACCTGTAAAATATATGTATGTAATCATTTTTTATATCAAATAATTGAAGCAATATGTTTCTAAGAGAGACAAGAGAAACCATCCGTATGGATAATTATACTCACAATCTTATGTAAGAGAACATTTTTATTTATTTATTTTTTTAAATCACCCAGGTGATTTCTGTTTTTGTCGAACAGCCGAGAAAGTACACCTACATTCCCCAGTTGGGAATGTAGGTGCTACTCATTTCTTTTACATTACAAAAAGAGATGTCTTTATCTGTGCCAATTTTCCATATAACTTCTTTTGTGAATAGTCTTTGTTGTAAGACATGTTTATTCTGATAGTGCTATATGCTATCCTATCAATGAAAATATAAATGACAAGAAAATAACAAAATATTTTTTAAGTGTTAGTAATATATTTTAAATGTTATCCTCATAGTTGGAAGGTAAAAATCTAAAATAATGCCACGTGAGCACCCACAGACCAATAAGCCCCCACTCTTTATAAAAAAAAGAATAAATAGACAGGACTACCTAATTGTTATTTATAAATGAGAAGCCGAGAGGTGGACTATTTGGGAAGCTATGCCCATTGAAAAGCTGTGAGACCTTTTTTCCCCATCAACCACTTGATGGTAGATGTACAGCGGTATTTTTATTGTGTTTCTTTCTTCTTCACGTGGAGAGATGTCCCTAGTATTGAATGCCAAAAAAAAATATTTCCAAAAATATATTTCTGGCAGCATGCGTTCATGAACCTGATATGTAACTTGTATTGAAGAGAAATTAACACATAATTTAGCATCGTCATAGTGCAATTTAACTTTGTTAGAATAATTGATACATTTTCGGGTTACGCAGCAGTTTCCTAATGTTTACGGAAGGATATCCAATGGTTGGTATTGGGAAGTTGTGTATTTTCTTTTCCAAGTGCTCCTAGTTATTTTATTTTTTGTGTGTGCATGATATTGTCTGAGGTCCCCAGTTACTCCAAGGTGATGGTTGGGGCCCTTGTTGATGAGTTTCTTCACCACTAGAGTCCCTTGTGAATTTTAAGTCATAGAATATTTTCTTACATTGTGTATGCTACGGTATACTACTGTGTAGCTTAATAAAGCCGTTTTAGTGTATAGATTGCACCCCTATTGTCTCACTGCTCAATTCTCTGCCATTTATGAGTTAAATCTCATTTGTTTCAGTTTTTGCAGCTCTAGTCACACCTCATCTGCCTATGACTCACATCCTGCATGGCAGAAATTTTCATTTTCAATCAGATTCCAACTTACTTTACTCTTAACACTGTAAATGAAACATTAATCACACGCAGGAGGATACAGCAAGCTATTGACAGAGCTGGATATAAGAAATTCTAAATTAAACAGAATGTACTATATTAAAGGAAATTTAAACATTAGATGACTCTTTGTTTTTTAATTCTTTATTTTGGTGCAATTTTGCATAACACAGACACCTATATGTTGCCACGACATCATAAGCAGGTAAAAACTTAATACGTAACAGCAAGTCATTGTCAGGTATGGCAGGCTAGCATGTTGCACATTTTTAAAATATGGTGGTCTGTTCGGTTATATTGAGTTAGCCATCATATGGGACAATTACCCCTCGCTATGCATGGTGCAGCAAAGCTGCGTGCCAGTGGGGTCTGCTAGGCCCTGTTCTCCTGATTTTGGGGGTGATTGTTGGTGACACAGGCGCCGTTTTTTGGGTGTAGGTTATGTGCGTGACTCATTGGGCCCTGAGAGACGTGGTTAAAGCCCATCGCCTAATTGAGAGGCTATCTCCTGGGATATTAGTGCTTGATGGGGCTTAGCAGCTATAATACCTACATCTAGCAAGGTGATATAGCTCCTTTGGGTGTCTAGTGTAACGTATGGGTTATTTCCTTCTCTGGTGAGCTGGTGAATAGACTGGGGGTTGGTCCTAATGTACTGCCTGGATTTTTTTGTCTATTAATTTAAACCCCTGTATTCCTGCTTTCTCTACCCCGGTACCCTGGGGCTATGGGGTGGGAGGGGAGTAATCGGATCCCATTGCAGGCACTTTGTGAGTCAATTAAGCGTCTTGGCTATGTAGGGCAGGTGAGATACTACCTCTACACACTGGAGTTAATGTACAATATATCAGCTGGTAACGTAAATTATAGCAAACTTGCAAAACATAATTAAAAGAAATCTCATGTAGGACTCTGCAGCATGAGCTGGTCAGGGACAGCGAGCTTTTCGGGTTGTTGGTCTCTTCTCTCTTCTGGGCGCAAACGTGGGTATTTCAGCAGCAGTCCGAGAGTGAGTGCTCGGTAGTCCTTGGTTAGGGGTATTTCTCGATAAGCCCAGTGCTGCTAGTAGAGCAGGAGCTTCTGCCGGTTCTGTGGCTTTGTAAGACTTCCCATCTTTAGTAATCCACATTGATCTCGGTGTCGCCCATTGATAGGTCAGGCCTTCCTTTTGTAGAGTCTTCGCGAGGGGCTGCATAGATTTTCTCCACAGCTGGATCCTTAGATCCTGGAAGAAGGAAATTTGGCATGCTTCGAAGTCGTATGGTGACTTCCCTTTTAGTGCAGCTAGCAGGCACATCTTATTTGAAATCGTTTGGCATCTGAGTATAATGTTGCGTAGTGCGGGGAGAGTGGGGACTTGGCGATTCTGTACACCCCATCAAAGGTGAAGCGATTGGCTTGTCTCGCCGGCAGGAGGGAAGTCTCCAACCTTCCTATGAAGTGTGGTAGTTGTTCCAGAGGTATTGACACTAGGACTCCCCTTATCTTTATATTCTTCCTCCAGCCTCTGTCATCTAGTGTGGTCACCTGTCTGCTGGGTTCGGTCTGCGCTGCCTGTAGCTGTTGTACCTTGTCATCCAGTACCTTCAGGCCTTGTTTTAGGTAGAGTACGCCTTCCTCAGTGGCCTGGGTGCACACTGTGACGGCCTGTACATCAGGAGTGAGAGCCGGCAGATCCGCTTCCCACATTTTCCTGAGGTTGTGTTGGAGGCCAGTGAGCATGTCCTGGATTTCTTGCTTTGTTGCGGGAGCTGTTATCTCTGATGTGCGTGGAGTCCCTCAATTCGTCAGTGCTGGGCTCCGAGGTGAGACCCTGCCGTCAGATTGTGAGAGTGAGGTCTCCCGTGAGGCCGGCACCGGTGTTTGTGTCGAGTATTGCAGCATCTGGCCAATATCATGCTGCGTCCTGGTGGTGGTTGCGGGCGTTTTCTGCCCATGTCACTGGCCAGGTGCGAGTTGGACAGCAGTGCTGTTAGGCCTGGCTCTCTCCACACGAGTAGGCCTCCGGGGCTTACGAGAGCTGTCTGCTCACACGGTAGGTTTTTCTTGCCCCAAGTGAGAAAAAAAGGCATCGGCAGCTTCAGGACTGTGTTCTGCAGCTATGTATGCCCTTGTGTCAGCTGTTTGCGGTAAGATGCCGCCAGTATTTAGTGGATTACAATTTTGCCGCTCGGAGCTATGAAATATGGCATCTTTTCGGATGTACTGTTAGGCTCCGCCCCCTAGATGACTCTTTACAGGAAGTGTTTAGGAGACTGTGTATGTCACCAGGGAGGTGTGGTTAGGGCTGCATAAACAAAGTGATTTAACTCCTCAATTGCAGATAATTGAGCATTGAGACTGCAGGGGCATGAACTACACAACAAAACTGCTTCATTAAGCTAACATTGTTTTTGTGCCTATTATGTCCCTTGAATATTTGTGTGGAGTCCAACATCTGCACTTTTATTATGGCTAATAGCATGGATTAATATATCTTGTGCTTCAGGTTCTGGTTGTAGTTTTAGTTGTTTATGTAGAAGAACTAGGTTGTAATTTACGTGGTCTGTTTGCATGTCTGGCAAGAGAAGTCGGGATCCCATGGTTGGCAAATGATTAGTGGTTCACTGCTGCTCTATTCTCTTTCAGCAGGCTAACTGCTGGAGAGGCCCTCACAGATTATCTGTTAAAGACTCTGCCAGAAATGAATTATTAATTGTTCAGATCAGTTTCTACAATATTGCATTGTAAAAACGGTTTCAAACAGAGATTTAATTAAGCTCATGATTTAATTATGCTCAACGTTTTATTCTCGTTTAAGTATCATTAAGTTTATATGTGATCATACAGTTTGTTGTTAAAAGACATTCAGGAAAGTCTTCTATAACTATGAATTATAATAAACCGGGCATTTTTTTCCCCTCAAATATTTATTTAAAATAAGTTTATACCGCGTAATACAAAGATATATGAACAAAGTACAAGTGTACAGTAGAGAATAATAACTTGGGTCGAGTACACCCCACACAATGGATGTGATGGACCCCTGCCATTCTTCATCAAAATCCAGAACATAACAATGCTCAGTGTGGATATATACAGAGTCCCTGTCCATGCAGGATATTTAAACTTTTGATTCTTACATAGCAGCACAGGATAAAACTGTTATTGACATGAAAAGTAGACCCATGCAACTTTTGATATATGCAGCTTAATCCCATCCAAAGAGCTGCTACAGTACAGTCAGGAGCATGAAGGTTGGCCTCCGTCACCTTACGTATTCTGCAGTGAAGACATCCGTACTTCTAATTCAATCCTAATTACATCCCCTGTACCGATGACATCCAAATTTCTCAATTAAAAGTGATAGTCATTGAGCTGGTAACCAGAGTGTACTTTGATTGCTGATGGTTTCTAAAATGCATGACAGGGGTTAGACACACCACATGCATGATCACAATGAGCAGTGTTCAACTGGTATATTCATTTAAAAGTTGCCCCGTTAATAGAAATTTACGATAATGGCAATATGCAATGTCACAGGTCTTGGAGGGGTACATATTTTAATAACATGGGTCACTGTGCAATTTTGGTATTTGTCCTATTTCGGAATTAGTCTAATTTACAACCACCTCAGGAATGCAATTTGATTATAGGTTCTATTTATCCTCTCCAACCATGCTTTGCAATGTGTTTGCCACATCTGTGATCCTCAGAAGTAGAAGTTTGTAATATGATTTTTTTTTATATATAAATAATATATTCACTGAACAAAAATTATAAATGCAACACTTTTGTTTTTGCCCCCATTTTCATGAGCTGAACTCAAAGATCTAAGACCTTCTATGTACACAAAAGGCCTATTTCTCTCAAATATTGTTCAAAAATCTGTCTAAATCTGTGTTAGTGAGCACTTTGCTGAGATAACCCATCCAAAATGTGCATGTTTATCACACAGCACAATGCCACAGATGTCGCAAGTTTTGATGGAGTGTGCAATTGGCATTTCTGAATTGAATGTGCATGTCTCTACCATAAGCCATCTCCAAAAGCGTTTCAGAGAATTAGGCAGTATATCCAACTGGCCTCACAACCGCAGACCACATGTAAACCACACTAGCCCAGGACTTCCACATCCAGCATCTTCACCTACAAGATTGTCTGAGACCAGCCACCCAGACGGCTGCTGCAACAATTGGTTTGCATAACCAAAGAATTTCTGCACAAACTGGCAGAAACCATCTCAGGGAAGCTCATCTGCATGCTTGTCATCCTCAGCGGGGTCTCGACCTGAGTGCAGTTCATCATCGTAACCGACTTGAGTGGGCAAATGCCCACATTCGTTGGCGTCTGGCACTTTGGAGAGGTGTTCTCTTCATGGATGAATCATGGTTTTCACTGTACAGGGCAGGTGGCAGACAGCGTGTATGGCATCATGTGGGTGAGCGGTTTGCTGATGTCAACGTTGTGGATCGAGGTGCACATGGTGGCAGTGGAGTTATGGTATGGGCAGGTGTATGTTATGGACAATGAACACAGATGCATTTTATTGATGGCATTTTGAATGCACAGAGATACCATGACGAGATCCTGAGGCCCATTGTTGTGCCATTCATCCACGACCATCACCTCATGTTGCAGCATGATAATGCATGGCCCCATGCTGCAAGGATCTGTACACAATTCCTGGAAGCTAAAAACATCCCAGTTCTTGCATGGCCAGCATACTCACCGGACATGTCACCCATTGAGCATGTTTGGGATGCTCTGGATCAGCATATACAACAGCGTGTTCCAGGTCCTGCCAATATCCAGCAACTTCGCACACAGCCATTGAAAAGGAGTCGACCAACATTCCACAGTTCACAATTAACAACCTGATCAACTCTATACGAAGAAGATGTGTTGCACCTTGTGAGGTAAGTGATGGTCACACCAGATACTGACTGGTTTTCGGACCCTCCCAATACAGTAAAACTGCACATTTTAGAGTGGCCTTTTATTGTGACCAGCCTGAGGCACACCTGTGCAATAATCATGCTGTCAGCCATCAGCATCTTTATATGCCACACCTGTGAGCTGGATGGATTATCTCGGCAAACAAAAAGTGCTCACTAACACAGATTTAGACAGATTTGTGAACAATATTTGAGAGAAATTGGGATTTGGTGTACATAGAAAAAGTCTTAGATCTTTTGAGTTCAGCTGATGAAAAATGGGGGCAAAAACAAAAGTGTTGTGTTTATAATTTTGTTAAGTGTGTGTGTGTATATATATATATATATATATATATATATACACACACGCACTGAACAAAATTATAAACGCAACATGTTTGTTTTTGCCCCCATTTTTCATGTGTGCGTGTGTATGTATATATATATATGATTTAGCTGGGTTACTTTGTAAGTCAAAACCTTCCTCTGGGGAAGGATATAAATACACCAGTAACAAGTTTCATATTTTCTTTTACTGCAAACAGTGTTTTGAAGCCCTAATTAGGTCTGTTTTTTTTTTGTTTGTTTTTTATGTCTAAAAATGTTATGCACAGTACAGAAAAGCATGCTTTTATATATTCTCTTTTAGCTGAGTGACATGGAAGGGTTTCATTCAGATCTATGTAATTGAAATTCATTCTCCCCTTTTGTTTCTAAATTTGTAAATAGAAATAGAATTGTTAATTTGAGTTACTTATTGTGTAAATTCTGTTCATGTAATGCATTATGTTAATAATGCATTTTATGTATTCCTTCTGACATTCTGTACGTAGGCCATGGATGATGTATATATTATGATATTTGGCTTATTTAAGTTGCAGTGCAATACTTAATAAATAACACTGCGCTCTTTTGTTTGTTGTGTTTTTATTCTAAATTCCAGATGGTCTTTAACTATAACTTTATACAGTTAAGCAGTAAAGAATAACATCTGTCGTACTTAGTGGTACTGTTTGCTTTTGAGCATAATTCTCTGCATAATTTAGGATTTTCTAGCTGGCTTTTAACACATTTAAAATATTAACCATGCACTGACTATTACTAAGACTGTGGATTTTTATTTGTAAACTGTGAATTGTGGACACCTGACGAGAACTGTGACCATTACAAAGCTTTTCAAAGTTGGCTATTTGTGGTCGAACTATAGAATGTGCAATTCTTTGGTCAATTATCTACATTTACCTTTATGTATAGTATATATCAGGGGTTCTCAACGTTAGTCCTCAGGACCCCCTACCAGTCCAGGGTTTAGGGATTACATGGGTGTGTCTAAGGTGTTTAGAAAAAAAACAAAAAACACCTTCGAGTCTAAGGTGGTTTTTTCCCTTTTTCTAAACACCTGAGACACACCCAGGTAATCCCCAAATCCTGGACTGGTAGGGGATCCTGAGGACTGGGTTGAGAACCCCTGGTATATATGATTTTGTCATTGTTTTAATTCTTATTTTAAGATTAACTATTACAGTTTTGCTTTTAATACAACATTTAAATATGAAAGAGAATGCACACCAAAAACCAAAAGAAATCTGTCTTGTTTTAATAAGCCAACATTAGGTTTAAACATATATAATACAACAACAAGAAGTGATAATAAACAGGCTAGAAATAGTAATTAACAGTAATAATTTACCCAAAATTCCACAAACCTAATAGGGCAGAAACACGAATTAAAAAAACACACAAAACTTTTTGGCACCACCTGGCTGCCTTTATTAAGGGCGTTGATAAAGGCAGCCAGGTGGTGCCGAAACGTTGGGGGGTTTTTTTGGGGGGGGGGAGGGGGTTGATTACTATTTCTAGCCTGTTTATTATCACTTGTTGTTGTATTATATATGTTTTTTTTTCCTCAATTGTATTTTATTGAATTTTTTCACAATTATGAATTCAGTACATAGTCACAGCTCGTGAAACATACATTCTGTGGTATAATGAATTCCTAACGCAGCCCCTTGAACAGCCGGGGATGGATAGTTTGTCGAACATAACAACGGTATATACAAAACAGGTGTGCAGGTAAGATCAATAAATAACGTAGTTGACATTTCTTTTTACTTCTGTCCACATGGAAGTGGTATGCTACTCCTCACTTGGTTCTGGCCTGGTTAGATATTACTCCCCTCTTCTATGCTGTTTTGCTTATCCCAGACAATTCCCCTTTTCGTACCATGCCTCCCAACCCTCCCATGTTTCTCTAAATTTTACGGTGTCTGTAGTGGTGCCTGTGGACATTTTCTCATATATGTAAAACTGTTGTATTTTGTCTTTCAGTTGTTGTGTGGATGGGCAACTGTGTTTTTTCCAATTGAGCGCTATCAGGTTGCGTGCTGCCATTAAGATTAGTAAGAGCAGTTGTTTTTGGTTCTCGTGTGTTTCTTTGGGGAACAGTAGGAGTAGACAGGCCTTAATGTTTAGGGCGAAGTCTTTGATTCCCAGGGCGTCTATTATATCCTTAACATCCCTCCACAGCGGCTGTATGCCGCTACAGTGCCACCAGATGTGTGGTAGCGTGCCTATTTCCGTATTACACCTCCAGCATTCGGCTGGCACTGCAGGGTATATCCTATGCAGCCTATTGGGGGTCATATGCCATCTATAGAGCAGCTTTCGGTGCGCCTCTATATGGGAGTAGCATTGGGTCCATCTTTTGAGGCCGTTTAAGGCCAATAACCAGTCTTCCTCAGTGAGCTCAGTCTCTGCCTCTGCCTCCCAGTGAAGTTTGCATGTTATTGGCTTATGGGGTGCTAACTCTAGCCAGGCTCTATAACAAAGGGAAAGGGTCTTGGGTTTCTGCGGGGCTGTCCAGCATCGACTGGGTATTAGTCTCGCAGCTAGCGCGTGTGTTGATAATGAAGATGGAGAGGTTTGTACATGTGAGTTAATAGTGTGTTTTAGCTGCAGATACGGAAAGATGTCTCTCTCCGGCACCCCCCATCTGCTTTTCATGTCTGGGAAATCCATTATGGTTTGCCCTTTGCACATCTGTTGAATCTGTGATATACCCAGCTGTGTCCACCTGGACAGGGGGATCGTGGGGTTCACTATGTGAAGCGCTTTTAGGGGGGCTTCGGAGTGGAAGTGCTTCTTCCAACCTAGGGATGTCATGAATTCGTCCCACACTTTGATCGTTGCTGCTGTGGTAGGATAAAGCTGTACGGTGGGTCCCCTCAATGCCTTTGGTGTCCATATGTGGTTGAGCAGTGTGGGGTATGTAAGCTGATCGTGTTCCATATCTACCCACTGAGTTGTGCCCCTTGGGGCATGTAGTTGTATACAAGTAGCCAGCAGGGAGGCTTTGTAGTAGAGGCCTATGTTAGGTAAACCAATGCCGCCCGTGTGTGCTGTCTTTTGTAGGAGGTGTAGAGGCAGCCTAGGTCTTTTGCCCCCCCAAATATATGTGCTGCATATCATTTGCAATGACTTATGGATTGCTGCCGGGACAGCTATAGTGAGCATTCTGAACTTGTACAGCAGTCTCGGCAGTAGCATCATTTTGTATGCATTTACTCGCCCTAACCATGAAAGGTTTGCAACCTTCCATTTAAGTGTCTCAGTTTTGCATATTGGTACGAGAGGTTTAAAGTTTAGTTTTATTATGTTGTCAATGGAAGTGGCGATTTTTACTCCTAAATATGTTAGGGATGTCGTCCGCCAATCGAGCTCATATGTGTTCTTTAAGGTTTCCACAAGTAGCCTTGGTAGGTTTATAGGTAGGGCCTGCGTTTTTTCTTGATTCAGGCGGTAATATGAGATTTTACCATAATTCGTCAAGAGTGTTAACAATGGGGGTAGGGAGCTCTCTGGTTTCGACAATGCCACAAAGATATCATCTGCAAATAAGGCTAAACAATACTCTGTTCCCCTCAAGGAGATGCCAGTTATATCTTTATGTGCTCGTACTTTTCGGGCCAGGGGTTCTAAAGAAAGGATGTAGAGCAAGGGGGACAGCGGGCATCCTTGACGTGTCCCGTTTGTAATGTGAAAGGTTCTAGAAAGGAACCCACTATGTGAGACCCTAGCACTGGGTTGCGCGTAGAGCGCCAGTATGCCTTTGATAATTTCTTCGGGGAAGTTGTATTTTTGTAGTACCCTCGTCATGTACTGCCAACTCAGCCTGTCGAAGGCCTTTTCGGCGTCCAGCGCCAGAAAAAGGCCTCCGAGTTTTCCTTTTGCCATCCCCTCCACTATATTTAGTACCTTCCTGGAATTATCAGAGCCCTGTCGGCCTCTCACGAACCCCGATTGATCATTGTGTACTAGTTTATGTATGAGTGGAGCTAATCTTTCACTAAATAGCTTTGCATAGATTTTTGCGTCGCTGTTTAGCAGCGAAATGGGCCTGAAATTCTTACACTGGTCCGTGGATTTGCCTAGCTTGGTAGGGTGGAGACATGAGCCAGTAGCATCTCCGCTGGTAAGGAGCCCTCTCTCATGCAATGGTTAAACAGTTCTGTGAGGGGCTGTGACAAGGAACTAGAGTATGTGCGGTAGTATTTATTGGGTAGTCCATCAGGGCCTGGGGATTTATGCTGTGGGAGTGAGGAGATCACCAAGGCTACCTCTTCTGTCGTGAAGGGGCTGCGCAGACCGTCTGTGTCAGTTGGCGATAAGGTCGGGAGGTTGACTTCCGACAGGAAGGCATCTATATCGGACTTTGTGGGGCATATCGTCTGTGGGTCATTCTTTAGATTATATAGTTTTTCATAGTATTGAGCAAACTCATCTACAATCCCCTGTGGGTCTAATATCTTGGCGCCCCCTGGTCCCTTGAGGGAGGCAATCCTGGAGGTCGTTGTTCTCTGTTTCAATTGTGCTGCTAGTTTTGCCCCTGCACAATTGCCGGCAGCGAAGTACTTGTGTTTGAGCATGCGCGTGAGAAATGTAGTTTTGGCTAGTTCTATGTCTCTTAGTTGTGTTTGTAAGAGTAGTAACCTAGCGTGTGTGCTTGTTAGTGTGTGTTAATGTGGCTAGCTCAGAAAGTATAGAGGTGTACTTTTCAAGGCGCCGTTTTTTTGCATAGCTAGCGTCTTTTATGAAGCAACCCCGTATGAAGGCTTTGTGTGCTAGCCATATTTGGGTTAGGGGTGAGTCCGGAGTTTTATTCTCCCGAAAATAGTGTTTCAGTTCCTGTTCTATCTGTTTGGCTACCTCCGGGTCAGTTAATAGTTGTTCATTGAGTTTCCAGCTGCCTCTTCCTTTGTTGGGGAATTGTTCTCTAATTGACAATGTAATAGGCGCGTGGTCTGACCACGAGATCAGACCAATGTCCGTGTGTTCTACTTTCGTGAGGGAGGAGGTGTGGAGTAAAAATCTATCTATTCTAGAATAGCTGTTATGTACTGCTGTGTGATATGTATAGTCTCTTTCTGTGGGGTGTGTAACACGCCAGGGGTCCACAAGGTTGTGTGTCGCTAGTTTGTGGCATATACGTGAGGTTAATTTGGACCTATGCTTTAGAGTTTGGTTGGCTAGTTTTGGACCTCTGGAAGAGTCTAGGTCGCTGTCTAATAGGAAATTTGTGTCGCCTCCAATGATTACCTCCCCCAATGCGTGTGCAGACATCAATCCCAACAGCACATCCACGAAGTCACATTGATTAGTATTAGGTCCATATACATTAATCAGAGTATATACATTGTTATTCAGATGGCATTGTAAGATGAGGTACCTCCCTTTTTTATCCCCAATTTTTCGTATCAATGAAAACGTTACGTCTTTACTTATTAGGATGGATACTCCTCTTTTCTTAGTTGAGTAGCAGGAGTGGTAGTCTATGGGGAATGCCGGAGAGTTAAATTTAGGCCTATTGCCCCACTTAAAGTGTGTCTCTTGAAGGAACATTACGTGGGCACCT